CCCTCCCCCCTGGCCTGGCCCCAGGAACATCTTCCGTTTGCTCAGAGGGCTGCCCGGTTGCCTCCAAGGGCTCACAGCAGGGCACCGAGACACAGCTTGGCGGAGTCATCACCTTGGGGGTCATGCCCCTAGCCTGCCTGGCGCTGGCTGGGTTTGGTCTCATCTCTGCCACCATCTGCCCCGCCCCCCCCGACAGGGGGCTGCAGACGCAGGCTTGGCTCAGTGTGACCACCAGCTGAGCGAGCCTCCAGCAGTGCCAAGCAGCTCACGGGAAGAGGCTCTGTCTCCATCATGCCTGCCTGGCTCCTTGGAAATAGACCTCAGGACGTGAGATCAAAGATCAGGGGGCGAGACCCCAAAGGTAATGACGTGTAAGTGCTCCCTTCAGGGCCCTAGGAGGAACTACCTCATTCTCAACAGCTTGGGAAACTCTTGATTTTAGCTCCATTCGTGTCTAAATAAGAGAAGTGCCAGGGTATCCCTCTCAGGAGGATTTCAGACACCATCACGCACAACCCGCGCCGATGGGGCCCAGGTCAAGCATGATGGTGTTGGGTACAGACCCCGAAAAACGAGAAGGGGCGGAGGGAGTGCAGTAGCTAGAGGAGCCTGGGGAGACCAGAAGGTACACCTGCAACCTACAGACGGAGCAACAGAGATCCAGGGAAAGGTCATGGCCAGCCCAAGGTCGCCCCCTGTGTCTTCACCTGCAATTCATCCGTTCGCCTTCCATGCCCCCTCATGCTCAGAAGCCAAAGGCTGTGTGAACTCAAGCGAGGGCCCCCCAGGAGTGTGTGGATCTACCAGCTGAGGTGCAAGCTTCAGGGTGCAACAGAAGTGGGAGGCACCCCTCCCCCAACCCCCGGCCCCTTTCTGCACAAAAACCTGAAATGAACCACAAGGAGTGTGAGCCCCAAGAACCACTGTGGGCAAGGCTGGCACTTGGAGGAGGCTTGGGAGGCACAGGAAGCAGCCGTGCAAACAAGCTGAGGACCCTGGGCCAGGAGCCTCCAGGGCAAACAACGCATTTCACAAGCAAGGAAGTGCGTGGTTCACCCATGCAACAGAGCGGGATTCCACGAGACGTGGGGACGAGCTAGGGACGCACACAACGTGGGTGACCCCAAGCACGAAGCCTTGGGAAAGCAGTCGGACTTGATGGCTACATCAGTGGCTCCTTTTATAGGACATTCTAGAAAAGGCAATACCATAGGGTCCGATGATCCATCGGCGGTCGCCAGGGGGTGGGATGGGGAGCAGGTGTGGGTGATCAGCCCCTAAGGGAGCTGGAGGGAATTTTCAGGAGTGATAGAAATAGGATGATGATTTTGGTGGTGGTTAGAAGACTGTAGGTTTGTCGAAATTCACGGAACCCTATCCTTCAAAAGGGTGCATTTCACTGTAGGTCAATAAACCCCAGTAGGTATGTCAAACACCTCAACAAATCTTAAAAAAACAAGGCGGTAGGTCTGGGAGGGGTTGGAGGATTCGGGGAATACGCTGATCTGTACCCCACTTAACATGCCTGAAGTGCTTTCCCTACCTACATAACCACCAGTGGGTCTGAAGAATCCTGTTTAAACTCTCCCTCTCAAGGAAGTCAAATCACTTCAATGCGTCTGGAAGTCAAATCACTTCAACAAGCCAGTCTTTGACGTCCTCTGAAGTTTATGGCTAGTGTTTCCAAGAAGGGACTTTGGCTTCACCAAGATTCTTAGGTACCCATCCACTAATCTAGTAACTGATTGGTTTTCACAAAGGGAAGAGAAACACCCCCCCTTCTCTCCCTGGTCTGTGAGTGTGGACACTATTCCTGTTCGCTTCGGTCATTAACCAGCCCCAGTGAGAAGCGCCTCCTGGTGCAGAAATCCTCCTGGCCCGACAGGCGCTGGGTGGGTGGGTAGAAAGAAGGCCCAAGGTGGTCCCACGGGCAGCTAGCCCTGTGGTCTGGTTGGCCAAGGCTTTGCAATACTGATCAAAAGCAATAGAAGGAAGGAATAAGTGGCTTTTCCTGGAGGTTGCTGTGGCAACCAACTCATTTTGAATGCCATTTATCTTGGAGATTTTTTCCCCCCCAAAAAATCAGGTTTTCACAGACAAAACTAAGTGCATCCATGTCTTGTAGGAGGGCAGGTAGAAGGGGCTCACTTGTTCTTAGAGAACAATAGATGTGCCCAGGAACATCCCAGACACTCTCTGAATAAGCCCGGCCATACACTCTTATAACTTCAACACCGAATTTACAAGAATAAAATAAAACAGCAACAACCGGATAGAGCGCTACTCCAGAGGGCACTCTGGGATGTTTTAGACTTCAGCCTCATCTTGGTTCACCCAGGGCGGGAGCCCTGTTAACAGACCCCGATCCTCACTCCCTGGACTCACTGGCCATCGTTCCTCTTCTCTGTCAAGTGAGGAGAGTTATTTAAAAGAAACGAGAGAAATCTCTGAGGTCTGACTTGCATCCGGGCTGCATGCGCTGAGGACCCGGTGATTATATACCCTTGCTGCTGTCCACCTTCCACCCAGCGGGGAACTACTACACAGCAGTTCACGTTAGGATGACATGTTCATGTTAGGCTCCGAGTCGGTTAAATGTGGAAGAGGTGCCATACTGTCATTCTCCAGAGAGGTTTAAAGAGCCTCTAGTCTACATGGAGAACAGAGAAGACCGGGACAGAGCGTGTGTCTTGCATATGGCTGCATTTCTGGCGTCCTGCACGATGCCTGGCTCGTCCCGAGTGTCTGCTCAGTGAACGAATGAATGAATGCAGATGTGCCAGCATGAAAGAGAGGATCTCTGGAAACCACAACTCTGCAAAGAGTGCTTGTATGTGAAGGCCAAGGTTAAGGACCTGCAAGACCCCGGAGAAAACATAAGTCTATGCAGAAGAGACGGTGGTCTTTCCCCTGCCCCGTCTTGTCCCCAGAACTTAGCACATTGCTCAGCCCGGTCTAAGCTCTTTGATGAATGAAGGAGCATGGAGAAAAAGGAAAACAATGTGAAGAAGCTAATGAGAGTGAGCTGAGGAGTGGGGGTGGGGGGAGGGGGAAGAATGACTTCAGAAAACCCACACAGGGCCAACTTGGGCTCCCCTGGAAGAGGCAAGAGAGCCCCCCGCCCCCTGTCCCAGGGAGGACCAGAAGACTCAGGAACCCTCAGGAGGGAGGGAGAAAACAAAAACCGATGAGCCATCTCACACTCAAAATATCTGGGTTAGTAACAAGGCTATTGGCTTTGGACATTTGAAAATCACCCACAAATTAGTCCACTAAAGCCACAAGGCAATTACTACCAGCACCCACTTTTCATACAGAAACCAAGACATAATATCCTAAAATCAGTCACTGGTGTCCCGGCACAAGCCCTGATCCGGAAGCAGGGGTCCTCCCTGCCAGGGACAGATCCATCCTCCACGCTGACCTTTTTGGTTGAGGTGGTTCAACAGGACAAGTGACAGAGTGTGGCTTACTCTAGGACACTGGGCATCTTTCTAAACTGTGAGCACATAGTTCTGACTCAGCGAAAGAGGTGCCAAAAGACTCAAGTCCCAGCATGAAGACCGAGGGACCGGGGAGTTGTGGTCTTAGGATCCTGCCCTTGTAGGGTGCGTATGGGTCCTGCACGTCAGAAGTAATCAAGGTTTGAAAGATGAGCTAAGAAGGATGGGTTCTCAGGGCATGGGTTCTGGACTAGAATCTGCCCCCCGGCTGGCCGCGTGACCACCTTCGGGGGGCGGGGGTGTCATTTCATCTTCCAGTCCCCTGGTGCGGATTCTCAGGGTTTGACATGGTGGAGAACGGGTTTGCTGTGTTTCTATAAAGGGAGGAAATGATGAGCGGTGTGCTGAATGCCTCCCACGTCATGCTCAGACCCGGCTTTCCCAGGAATCGGGAAGTGGGGAAACGGGAAGGTGGTTCCGGCACCAAGCAGGGCTCCATGCAGGGCTCTGGAATGTGCGGGACGAGCTGAGGCCAGGGTGGCAGAACACTGCCAGGAAGGGGACACCCCACTGTGACCGTGAGAGTCTGCCATGCCTGTGCAGTGCCCACGAAGGAGAGAAAGCCACACGGGGTCCCATGCCCACCATGCACTAGCAGGTGGAGCCCTCTGCAGGGGTGGGGACGAAACCCATCCCAACCCACCTCCCACAGGGGACTGAGCCAGCCCCGCGAAGAGCCTGGGAAGGGGGGGGCAGGGGAGGCCGGAGGGAGCTTCCCTGAGGAAGCAACTGAGGGTTGGATGGATTGGGGTTTCCAGCCCGGAGACTTTACAGAAGATGCCTGACCTAATATGAGACGCGACTCAACGCGTTGACTTGGGGCTGATGTGCTGAGTGAGGTAGTTCCATCCTGACCTCTCCAGGCAGGGTCGGTCTGGGTAGAGAGGAGCCAGGCCTTATTCCCAAGACCCCAGACGGTGGAAAAGGGGCCAAGAAGAGCCAGGACGCGGGCCCCCAGAATGCAACGGGAAAACAATAAAGAGGGTAGGCTGCAAAGAATTCTGGGTGCGGGCTGTTGGGCTGAATGGTGCCTTCGATCCACGATTCTGATCCTGACACGTGGTTGGAGACAGGGACCTTTCTCCCGTGACCCTCCAAAGCCCGGGACACGGGGAGCCAGCTAGACAAAGGGCCTTGGGGCTTCCAGGGGTGTAAGTATATGACACAGGTGGTTCTGGGTGGGGAGGTGACCCCTCCGGTGCTCAGCAGGGACCACAAAGCTCCAGCCTCAGTTTGTCCTTGGAGCTGCAAGCACGGCGCAGGAGTCAGGGGTGGGGGCCTCAGGGGGCTTCAGCCTCGGAGACAAGGGTAGGGCTGTGGATCCGTCTTCTTGGCCTGGGCACATTGGCAGCTCCCGGCAAGGCCGCCCTTCTGGAATCGCCCCAGCTCAGTGGACCGGGCCCAGGACAGGGGGTGGGAGGGCAGCTGAACTCGGCAGCGGGCCCCGTGGCGGGCGCGGCCACCTCCTCTCCGTGGGACCCCCAGCCCCTCGCCTCCGCAGGACCCCCGGGGCCGTGCGTGCCTGTCTAAATCTCCATGTCCACGGGGCGGATGTTGCCCGTCTTGTGCTCTCTGACCCACAGCTCCCTGTCTTTGGCTGGGTCCACTTTTCGAAGCAGTTGGTCCACAGGCTCGACTGTCTGCAAGGGACGGAGAAGGGAATGCAGTCAGAGGTGGTGGCTGCCCCAGGGACAATAGAGGCCCCCGTGAGGGGCAGCCATGCGCAGCGCTGCAAAAGCGGGGAGCCCGGGGCTCTCGCCCCACTCTGCGTCCCACTCAGTGCGCTCTGCCCCCAGCCTGCAGGCCTGCATGACAGGGCAGGGTGGCCCAGCTCCAGATCCGGGGGGCCTCCTCCTCCATTTGTCCGCACCTTTACCATCCCAGAACAGGGCCAACGGAACATTCGCTTTAGGGAATTTGAATTTTTCTGGATTATTTATTTTTTGGTAAGAAATTTGCCACAGGAGGTGATAAAGCCTCAGCTATTTTAAACTGTCCTGACCTTGTTTCTCCTCGGGCTGACAGCTCACGCATGTCTCTATCGCCTGGGATGGATTCACAAGGACGTCCAGGGAAGGTCTGCAAGCCCACCCCAAGACGGGGCTCCCAGGCCCAAGCACCTGCCACCACCCAGCGCCAGGTGGCTCTCCTCTGGCCCCGGGTCCCCCCACACCCCCCCCACCCTCCGCAGGGGTCCTCGGCCCAGGGCAGGCGACTCACGCTTTGGTTGAACATGTCTGTCTCGTGCCGCAGCTGTGTGTACTGACATAGGTGCTGCCGGATCATCTCCACCCTCTCTACCTCCAGCCGCTCCAGCTCCTGGCCGGGGAGGGGGGGGCGGGGGGACACACACAGACATCCCTGAACATGTGCCCCCAACCTGGGGACCCTCCCGCCACGCAGGTCCCAGCCCACCCTACCCACAAGACACAAGTCACCGCCCACTTGGCGTGGGTCCCCGCGGACCCCCAGGGGCTGAACTTGCCCAGCATGGGGGTGGGGGGAGGGGCGGGGATGACTCAGCAGTTGGTGTCTCCCGACTCCTGCTCTGCCGGCCGGGCGCGGTGGGTGCTAAGAGCTTCGCACGCGTTACTTAATTGTCCTCGGTCATTTTAAGAGAGAGGTTCTTATCTGTAACATCACTTGCCCAAAGCCCAGGGCATTATGGGAGGAACAAGGTTAAAACCAGGGTCGGGATTCTGTCCCAGGGCAGCCCCAGCCCCAGTTCCCAGACCAGGTGGACGCATGGGTCACATGTCGAGATTCTGTGCCTCGGACTCTTGGAGCTTTGTCCCTGGGCCTCTGCCAAGCAGCCTCCTCTCCTCTGTCCATCTAATGCTGAAGTGCAGAACAGAGACCAGGCCAGGAGACTCGGGGCGGGGGGTGGGGCATAAGGGTAGGAGTCAGATGGCCAGGTCAGATGGAAGAGAACGGGCTTGTCCTTTGGTTTCTAGATGGTTCTGCATCTTTGGAATTTAGAGGATCAGACTGCTATTCTGTGCACAACTAGGTCACTGCCCAGGTGATTAACTGGGAAGAAGGGTAAAGCAGGAGCTTAATTAGGAGATTAACCAGGAGGAAGACTGGGTCACTGTCCCTGGGGGAGGCCTCTAATCTGCTCTGGTGGGCTGACACCTGGGCACGCAGAGAGTTAGTCTGTCCTGTGCCGGATGGACGAGGGGAGTTTTGGGCAGTGGGACAATGCAGTCAGGACCTGGCACCAGGCCTCCTTTCTCATCCAACCCAATGGCCCAAGTGTCAAGCATACTTCACTGTCCTACCCAACGGGTGCTCACTGAGGAGGAGATGTTGTCCCTTCATAAGATACTCAGGAGGCGCCCGGGGGGCCCAGTCAGTTCTAACTCTTGGTTTTGGCTCAGGTCTGGATCTCAGGGTCGCGGGATTGAGCCCCAAGTCAGGCTCTCTCTCCTTCTGCCCCTCCCCACAGCACTCTCTCTCTAAAATAAATCAATCTTAAAAAAAATACCCAGGAAGACAAAAAAAGGGGGAGGTCTGATGCCTATTCCCTGCACCCCTTGGTCAGAGGCCTCCACTCCCATTCCTTCTAAACAGCTACCCCATCCTCACTCCGTATGTATCCTCGATCTAGGATGGGCAACGCTTCTGGGGGTGGGGAGGGTCACGCTTCCTATAACTTGGCTATTTGTCCTAAAGGCTCCACTGTACATCTGGTTGAGGGCATTCCTGGTTGACCCTGACCCCTCAGGGGACAGCCAAAGAGGACAGAGTAAGACCCAACCCTTGCCTGTGTTCACACAGCTACAAAGTGCCAAAGCAGGATCTGAATCCACACAGACTGGCCCAGAGTCAAGGTCTTGACCTCAGCGGTAGAGAGGACCTAATGACCATCGCTATGGCCACTCCATGCCATCACCCGCATGCCCACCAGCGTCCCCCCCAAGGGCTTCCTGAGCACGGGCCCCTGGGTTGACAAGCTCCCTCACCAGTGTGGTGGTCACCATCTCTTCAAACCACTTGGACTGGGCTTGGTTGTAGAGGTCCACACAGCGCATGAGGTCATCTCCTGGAAAAGACCACCGGCCATCATTGCACTCTGTCCTGTTGTCACTATGGCTGCCCTGCCCCATCTGTGCCCCGTGCCCTCTCCTCTTCCTGGGTCGTGGAAGCCACTGGGAAACGGAGGGAGTGGGAGCCGAGTGAAGGAAAGGGGGCAACCCCTCATCATGAGTGTCCCTCTGAGCTTGACCCCAGATACCAAGAAGTCAGGATGAGGGTTTCTCAGTGTGTGTGTGTGTGGGGGGGGGTGCTCCCAGGAACCCCCCAATCCTACCATGAGCCCAAGAAATGCTTCCCTCTCTAAAGGTGGCAGTTTCATTTGACATTGGAGAGTCCTTCTCCATTAAAACATGTGTTATAAGCAACCTAGAAGTGGTTAAGAGTTAAGGAAGAGAAGTCCGCAAGTTGCATGCGTGTGCGCACGTGCCAGAACGTAATTCCGAAACACAAAATAGTGTGTCTGATGGTTTGTGGCTCACTCACACACACTGGTGCGCTGCACACCAATCCCAGACAGTGGCCACTTTGGGAAACAGACGATGGGCGGGAGGGCATGAGCTCTTCCCAAAGCATTTAATTTCACAAAAGAGAGATGTGAAGCAAACCTAACTTTTCAATCATGATGCCTGGTATGTTATTTTCAGGAATGGCAGGGACATTTGAAACATTTTGTAATTAGAAAGAAAACAAACCATACAACAGTTGCAAGCATTACTAAAGTGTACCAGCACCAAGAACCTTGGTTTTCTGATCACCACAGGGTTCCAGAGACAGGAAGGAGTCATGGTCTGTGTTCTCAATGGGAAAAACTCATGAGCCAACCCCCCAAGCTAACCGATTCACTGTAAACCTAGTAATTCCAGCGGACTCCAAGTTATTCCTCTAACCACATCCCTTGGCTCATGTGTATTCTGAAATGGAAATGAAGAAATCGGGCAGACTCATGTCCACGTGACCCAGGGCCCAGCTCAGCAACCCCCTCCACTGAACTACACCGCTAGCCGGAAGATGAGCCTGAGGAACAGAACCCAACCAAGGGCTCTAGATCCATCACCAGCGAATGGGTCCCTGACCCCAAGAAGGAATGACCTGGAGAGAAGAAAGTACCTACTTCCCTGTAAGCACATTCCCACCAGGAGCCTGTGCCTGACCAATGAGGGGGGCAGTCAGCATGTCACCCTACAAACCTACGATACTCAAACTCCCACAGCCCTCTTTGTCGATCCTGATCTCCCGATCTTGAGAACGTGCTCTGGGATCTCCTGCCACATCAGAAAATTGGGTAGCTGAAGGAGACGGTGCCTTCTCTCCATGGAGCCAGCCCGAGGGTACCTTTCTGAACAGAACGAATTAAGGATGCGGGTTCTGGACCCAGAATATCTGGGCTGTCCTACCAGCTCCACAGTCTAGGAGCTGTGCGATCGCAGACAAGTCAGTTAACCTGCCTGTGCCTCAGGCTCATCACCTATACAACGGGAGAGCAACGGTATCTTCTCGGAGTAATGGGGAAGATTAAGTAAGTCCCTACGTGCCTAGTGCTTGCGACGACAAAATGTGATCAAGCCCCCTGAGGATGCAGAGGTGCTCCCTTCTAGCGGTTTTGGGAAAGATGAGGGAGGAAAAGGGAGGGAGGGACAGAGCGAAGGAAAAAGAGCGGGCATCTTCTGGGTAACGGGCCATCCAGCAACATGGGGACAAGCAGTGTCTTTGGAAGAAGAGACAATGGAATTCTGGGCCCCAGCGCTCCGGGACTGTCTGACCCCTGTCTGTCACCATCTGTCATTCATCTGCTTCCTCACCCCTGTGAGGTACAGAAATACCCCCCTGCAGGAGGACCGGGGGCTTGGACGTGGACACTCTGAGGCATGGGGCCGGGGGCCCGACACATAGAAAGGGTTTCGGAAAGGTAGAATTTTTCACGGTTAGATCCAACAACAAGGACGAGTCACTTCCATCACTGTATCCAAACTGTAGGGATAAGAGATCGTATTATTTGATGACCACGCAACAAACTGAGACACAAAGAGCAAGACCAGAAAGCACAGGTGGTAGAGTTCTAGCTGGTGAAAATGTAACATTCTCCTGAATTGGGCTGAAATTGGCTAGAAACTGCAAATAGCAAGATTACCTAGAATGTGAAAGAAACAGAATCGAAAAATATCTACAACATGAGAGAAATGAAAACACAAAAAAAGTCAGAACTTGAGGAACATGGTAAAAAGCGGTGGTGTGAGTTCAAATAAACACCTGGTGGGTCAAATACGTATGTATTTATTTCTTAAATCTGGGGCCAAAGAAAAAAGGGATTTAAAAAATATCTATCGAGAAAGGAAAAGTCTTTCTAAGCCAGTCACAAAACCCAGAACTTGTAAGGGGAAAAGATGGTTCTACAAAAAAAAAAAAAAAAAAACTCAAGAAGAAAACAAGCCAGAGAGAGAGAGAGAGAAAAGAAAGAAATACAAAGAAAAAAAAGTTAAATGACAAACGGCAACCTAGGAAAAATATTTTCAGTTCAAACCATAGAAGGTTAATTTTCCTGACATATAATTAATCCTTGCCCATCAATCCATCAGAATAAGAGAAACCAGGGGAGAGGACAGAAGTTCCTCAGTTCACAGAAAAAAGTCACAGAGGACATACGGAAGTCTATTTTTAAAAAGCTCAAATTCACTCAAAAAAGAAACGTGAATTGCCAACAAAATAGTGTTTCTCATCGGACAGCTAGGATGTCAAAGTCTGATCTCACGCAGTGCTGACCAGAGTTTAGGGAACGGGCATCCTTATGTGCCCCTGGTGGACACGCCTCTCTGGAGAGCAGTTTGGAACCAGCCATCCAAACCAGCACAACGCTCGGACCCAGAAACTCACATCTACGTTCTCTCCCCCCGCACACTGAACCTCATATACACACAGTTACAGTGACAACATTGCTGAACACCCACCGACAATCTCAAAAGTCCTACAAAAAGTCAATCGGGGGGATCATGAAGTAAATTCGGGTCCAATCGCACACGTGGACGCCATTCAACCATTTAAAAAATCTTATGCGCGGGAATAGATGGGTAAACCAACGTATAGGTGACGGATCAGAGCTATCTCGAAGATATATCAGTAAAAATATAAATTCAGGACATAAAATAGAAGATGATCTAATGTGTATACATTTAAATATTAAGAAACGTTTTTAAGAATTCAAACACTAGGAAATGTTGATGGCGATTAGGATCCAGTGAATCAAATTTTATATTCTTACGTGCTGGTTACAATTTTTTTTGCCAGGCAGCAATATAACTTTATTTTTAAAATAAATAAATTGAACGAACATAAATAGGCTCTCCCCGTCCTGGGTTTGCCTTCCCAGTCCCCGGGTAAGTGTATTATGCCTTCTATTGCTGGATCTGGTTATCACCATGCATTATAAGATCTTTCAATCAAATGTTGCGTTTGTGTTACACTATTTTCTGACTATTTCTACACCACTGTATCGTCACATCCAGACGGTGGCTCTTTTGTTCTGTAACGAGTTTAACTGTGCCAGGTTCACCAGAAATTCAGGTGAGAAGGACTCGGGAGACCACCTGATCCAAAGCCTAATGACAGCACATGCTTTAATCCCAGAAAGCAATAAAGAGCGTGCCCTTCAAATTAGGACTTTCTGAAGAAATAGGGACTGAGTTTTTGTACTGGTTCTAACGGGCCTTTCTCCCCCTCCTTGTGCATCGGCTAACTTTCACCACAAGGTGGAAGCAGAAACCAACTCACTGGGGGGAAATCTTTGTGAGAGAATCTGAAATCTGGTTCTTTCACGGAACAAAATGTCGGACTCTGGGGCGGCGGGGAGGTGGCAGGGGCCCCAGATCACCATAGGCCGCCCTGGGAGCATCACTCGGTGGGGTGGTGGCACCGCTGGGTGGGCAGGTGGGGCCTGCACTTCTCCTACGGGCTCCTCGCAGGGACAGAGCCGAGTCCTGGGCGCGTAGAGGAGTTTGTCCACCTCCTGACCCGAGGTGCAGGGCAGCGCCCCCCCCGCCCCCCAGTAGGGCCTGGACACAGCACCACAGCCCCCCCACCCCAGCCTGGTCCTTGGGCTGCACCTCCCTGGGCACCCCACCTCGCAGGCCTCCCCGTTCTGTGCGTCCGAGGCCCGGGTGAGGAGGAGAGAGGCAGGGCGCCCATGACCACACTCACCAGCCTGCGTGGACTTCCTCCGTGCCTTCTTGATGTCCTCCTCCGTCTTGTTGCTCAGCTTGATCTCCAGCTGCTGGGTCTTCATCTCCAGGTCTCTCTGCCGTTCCGTGAGGGCCTTCCGGGCCTGGGGTCCAACGACACAGGGAAGCTGCTCACGTGGCTCCGAGCCGGGAGGGCCCCGCGAGTTATGTGGCCCAGCCTCCCCTTTCCTGAATAAGAGGCCTCTCTTCTCCCCGTGTTCGTGGATCTTTTTCCCCAGCAGTGCTGAGCAGATGGCGGCACCAGCCACCCCATTCCGGGGCCAGAGGGGCCCTCGGTGGCAGCAGCGGGCCAGGTGCTGTACGCGCCCACCGCCCCCCGTCCTGCACCCCTCCCCACGGCACTGGGGTCAGCAACAGCTCCCAGCCAGGTCGGACCTCCCAGGCCTCTGGCAGGGGGGTGACTCCGTCAGGAGGGAATCTGCCCAGTGGGGTCTGGATCAAGGGCCACGTGTGGACCAGCACATGGGCCGGTGGGCCGTCCCACAGAACCCACAGAAGCGTGGTTAATACCTCATCTCCCGCCCGGGGGCCCCACTCTATCTCCCACTGGCCCTCCGGCAGTGACCCGAGTGCCCTGGGGAAGCAGCTGCTACCTGCCCTTCGCCCGGGGCCGGGGCTGGCAGGCCGGGGCTGGGGGGTGTCTTCCGGTGTGGGCTGGAGGCTGGCACGCCCCCCCCCAAGCCCAACCCCGCCACACGGGGACAGAGGCCTCTGCCCTGGCACCGGAGCCCTGCTGGGGCCCGGCCCACCCCCCGCCAGCAGGCCCGGCCTCCCAGGGCCCTCACCTTCTCCACCGCGGCGTAGCGGCTGACCAGCTGCTTGCGGAGGTCCGCGATGTGGTGGTCACACTTCTTCATGTCTTTCTTGAAGTTTTCTCGGAAGTTCATCAGGGGCTTCTCCACCTCGCTGTGCAGCTGTTGGGCGGGGGGGACATGCTCAGGACCCCGGGGCGTCGGCGGCGAGAGGAGGGAGGGGCATTGCCCCCCACTCCACGGGTGAGCATGGGGCCAGGGGCAGAGGCCTGGCCCAGCCGACAGGAGGGAAGTCACAAGCGGCCACACGTCAGGTCTCAGGCTGGGGGGGGGTCACCTTAGCTGGCTAGACCCCAGGATTCACAGCAACGGACTGAGGGCTTGGTGCCCAAGCCTTTCCGAGCCCTCCGTCGGCTGCCCTCCTGCCTCCCCCAGGCGCCCGTAGCCGCTCACAGGACTTTACTCACGTCCCAAGCTGACGTTGCTTACTTTCCCCAAACTGGGATTTTTCTGGGGGCAAAAACCAAGCCACCATCTCCACGATCCCCAAGCACTGAGCACAGTGACTGCCACAGGCTTGCCATTTCATTAGATGAGCTCAGGTCAGTTCTATTCGCTGAACATCTGCTACGGGCCAGTGCCCGAGGCTGCAAGGATGGTCTGGACATGGCCCAAAGCTCGAGGAAGCCATGGAGGGAACCGCCAAGGCCGGGAGAAGCAGGTACACCTTCCCTCCGCCCCGAGGGAACCGGTCTTGTACTCTGAGAGCCAGAGAGGCGCTGGTTTTTCAAGCTCTTTCCTTCTCTTGTATGCTTCCTCTTTTCCCTACTCCACTCCCTTTTGAAAGAGAGTTTTTACAGATCAGTGTGGACCTGCTGAGGTCAGAGCCAGATGAGCAGCCCAGAGCCCAGCTGACTTGGGCTCTCAGATTCAGCCTCCCGGAGCCCGACTCAGCCTCCCGGAGCCCCCTGACTCAGTCTCCCAGAGCCCCCGGACTCAGCCTCCCGGAGCCCCCCAACTCAGCCTATGGCCCCCCGGACAGCCTTCCAGGGCCCCTCAGCCTGCACTTGTCCCCAAAGCGCCTTTGGGAAGCACACCTGAACTTTCCTGAACACAGGACCTCCCAACACGGGTTCTAGGACTTCTCTCTCTTCCTCCTCACTAGGCTCTTGCTACATTTATCTTTTTCTCTGGAGACCCCAGGACTTCAGTGTTTGTAGTTCTAAACCACCAAATACAAGTGACTGTGAGCTCCTGCTCTCCGAGAGGGCAGAGGCCCCTCTGGCTTTGCCTTGCTGTGTCCACAGCATTGGTCAGAGCTGGTGCGGGGTGGGTGCCCCTTTGACTACCTGGGTGAATGACAAAATCTTCAATGCCCGATGCCTGGGAGAGAAGTGGACACCTTTGTTGTTGGATGACCTTCAAAGGCTAATAGAGCGCAAGCTAACCAACAGCCCCCTCCCCCTGATGTGAGTTGTTAATGCCTCCTATTTTCGGAGCCCCTAGAAGAGCCTTGCATAGGAAAACACCCCCACCTGGTGGCAGCCTGCAGGATGCTACACACTTGGGAGCTGCCAGAGCACGCAGGTCCCTTTCCCATATAGGTCAGATGTTGGTGGAGAAGCCGCATCACTTAGCTGCTGTGGAAAACTGCTCCTGATCGGGGGGTTGATGAGGGTGAACTCAGCCTGTTGACTCGGTAACTCGGGGGCTGCTTCCCGAGGGCCTCCTAGGAATTGAGTTGATTTCCAGACTTCCATGTGCCCGGCAGCTACCCAGAGGGTCTTTTCAACATTCAGGATTCCTGGCCCCAGTCCCAGGTTCTGTGGTCTGGGGAAGGGCCCAAGAACCTGCCAATACACCAAAATGTGTCCCCCAGATTCCAGATGACTTTCTGGAAACATAATGCTACTCGCTGTCACAGGCATGCAATCCTATAGATAGAGACACATGGGTTCTCCTGTATCTTAAGTGTCTTTAAAAGACTAATTGTTGGGCGCCTGGGTGGCTCAGTTGGTTAAGCGACTGCCTTCGGCTCAGCTCATGATCCTGGAGTCCCGGGATCGAGTCCCGCATCGGGCTCCCTGCTCGGCGGGGAGTCTGCTTCTCCCTCTGACCCTCTTCCCTCTTGTGCTCTGTCTCTCATTCTCTCTCTCTCTCAAATAAATAAATAAAATCTTTAAAAAAAAAAAAGATTAATTTTTTTTCTTTTTAAGATTTTATTTTATTTGACAGAGACAGACAGCGAGAGAGGGAACACAAGCAGGGGGAGTGGGAGAGGGAGAAGCAGGCTTCCCGCTGAGCAGGGAGACTCGATCCCAGGACCCTGGGATCACGACCTGAGCCAAAGGCAGACGCTTAAAAGACTGAGCCACCAGGACCCTGGGATCACAACCTGAGCCAAAGGCAGACGCTTAAAAGACTGAGCCACCCAGGCGCCCCAAGACTAATTGTTTCTTTAAGAACACGGGCTGGGTGTCTTTTTCTACTTGTTCTTAATGGCTGAGCATCTTTGCCCAGGGACAGAAGGCTTCCCAGATGCTTGTCCCTGGGACCTCCTGAGCGGGCCCGAGAGTAGTTATAATCAGCTTAGCGTCAATGTAGGGTCAGGACCACCTTTTGGATGAGAAATAGAGAGTACCAGAGTGCATTTTAGGTAGAAGGACAAGGGCGGCTTCGGGAAACATTTGTCTTGGCAACGCATGTATGTATCTGTACGTGGCTACGTGGGTGCGGGCACCTGCGTGTTCTGGCTACCCATGGAAAATGTGTGACCGGGGTCCCAGCCAAAGAAGTTTCAAGCCACTGATCTGGTCCAAACTCTTCACTTTACACATGGGAAAAAAAAAAAAAAAAGGAAGTCGAGAGATGCTAAGACTCGCCCCGGGTCACAAAGCTTGTTAGGGAAAGAGCACTGATAGAAAACTCACGTCTCTTGACTCCCACGGTCTCCCTAAAATCTTCCGTCTGCATGCACGGCCTCTCCTGCATGATGAGACTTCTCTTCCATCAGAAAGAAATTTTCTATTTTCCCTTCCCCAGCTAAAGCCAGGTCTCACTTCCTTTGCATACAGCAATCTTATTTCTTTAACAGCCTGTCGCCACGAACGGCGGCTGGAACCAGGAGACAAGCAAAGCCTGAAAGATTACCCTGACGAAATTGCATTTCTTAAGGAGCTCTCACCCCCGACACGGAACATTCAGAGTGGAATTTCAACGAGCCCTCTGGAAGCAGACGCTAAAATGGGTTTCAGGCATATGGAGCCATGTAATCACAGCAGATGAATAAATCCTCGGCGCCCCTTCACCTTCGAGGAATCACTGTCCTCCCACGGGGCTGCTACTCTCGTTCCCTAAGGCCGCCAACACTGACGACAGGCTGGGGGCATCAGAAGCTCTGAACATTTGTCACAAGTCCTCCCCATCAGCCACATGGTGAAGTCCTCTGTGCTTTAAAGGCCACTGGTCTGCCCAGAGAGAAGTCTGGGGGGCAAGTCGCCAATTGACTGATTCTTGCCCTTTGCTTCCTCCAGAGCAAAAGCCTGAGGCTGCATGACCATGAGCTGCGATGGAGCCTCTCTGTGAGGCTCATTTGTGAAATGCAGATGCTGACTGGCAAGGTGGTTGATAAAACCAAGGCAAAGGAGTTATTCCTTGCACAGAAGCTTCTAGAACGCTTACACACTGGGAGACCCTGATACAACAAATATGTACCTTGGCCTTTGTCCCTGGCTCCCGGCCAGAACTCCAGAAAACGCTGTAATCTCCCAAGTGGTAGGGGGGCTAGGAGCATCTTTTGTGCCAATATTTGGTCTCTGACCCTGGTCCCTGACACAGAACTCCTAAATCCCTTGGCATTTCCTGGATGACAGGAGCATCTTTTGTTCTAATGAGGTGACCTTGGTGGTCTCTTGGAGAATTTCAGGATGGGGGCTGGTCACCAGAAAGCCCAAGTCATGATTAGAAGCTTGAAACTTTCCGCCTCTCCTCCATCCCCTGGGGAAGGAAGGGGACCCGGAGATTGAGTTAATAAGCAATCATGCCTACGTGATGAAAATCTACAAAAATCCATAAATTATCGGGTTTGGAGAGCTTTTGGGTTGGTGAGCACCCCAACTCCATGGGGACAGCAGCTCTTGCGCTCAGGACTCTTCTGGACCTCGCCCTATATACTCCTTCATCCGGCTGTTCATCTGTATTCTTAACGATGTCCTTTAATGTAGAATAAACTGGTAAATCTAAGTACATGTCTTCCTAAGTTCCGTGAGCCATTCAGCAAATTATCAAACGGAAGGAGGGTGTCGTGGGAGCTCCTGATTTGCAGCTACATCAGACAGAAGCGCGGGTAACCTCAGAACCCACTACTTGCAACGGACATCCTGTGGGATGGAGCCCTTCATTAGTGGGACCTGAGCTGCGCCTGCTGAGCACCCTGGAAACAATCAAGACCGGAGGGTCATGCTGATGAGCAGCAGGTGCCACCAGGCTTCGTGGGGACCCAGCAGGTGACCTTTCAGAGGTTGCAGACTCAGCTCTACTGCACACGGGCAGCCTCCCCCATCCCTCTCCCCCATCAATGGAGGCTTCTGCCTCCACAGAGGGCAGAGTCAGGACGTGAGAAGGGAGGCCTGAAGGGAACACTCTCCGATCGGCGGCTTGAAAATAACTCACTGCTTTGCGCAAGACAGGAAAAAAACGCCTCATGGAGCCCCCTCCCCACGTGCAACCGGCAAGTTTCCCGCAAAGTGCTCGGTGGCTGGGTTACGGTCCCACTGTGAACCCTGAAAGTCTCACTCATGGCTGAGTCATCAGTCAACCCAATCTTGGGGCACTAACATCCTTCAGAAGCGGGGAGCTCCTAACAGCACTGTTTCTTCCTCCCACCCCAGATCTTTATAGAGCTGCTTCGTGGGTCCCAATCATTTGGGCCCTTCATTCTGCCCTCTGTGTGCAGGGTGGGGGGGACCATCATGGGACGGGGTGGTAAGACTTGTACAAAGCTGGATTCCTGTCCTCCAACAGCGCACATCCCATGGGGACCCCAAAGCCCAGAACGGCGATTCAGATGAGGAAAGCTCTGGAGAACAGATGGAACCATGAGCTCAGAGTGTGGGAGTCAGGGAAGAGCAGCCGCCTTTGGGAGATGCTACCTTCCTATGGTAGTTAAGGAGGCAGGGTGCCCTCCAATTTCAAAACAGGGGCTCAGAGTTTAAGTGCTTTGCCCAAGTGCCCTGTCGGACTGCTGCGTCTGACTGGGGACAGTGGGGAGAGTGTGGACCCAGGAGACAAAGGTCCCTGAGAATGGTGCTACTCTCAAGGGGTCTCTCTTCCTTTAAAAGGTAGCCCTATCAGTCATGCACACTTTAGTATGAATTATTTCACTTAGACACTGGGTTTATTTTTCCCCCCTGAAGAGTAGGTGAGAGCCTGAGATGGAATTTGGAGATACGAGCTAGGGAGTGGGGAAGAGAGGGTCATTTGGAAACACGGAGAAATCCTGAGAAAAAGTAGGCTTAAAAAGACGGGGGTGTTGGAAGGAGCTAGTCAGTTGTCCCTGTTCATTTATTACTTTGGAAAACATTTATCGAGCATCTACTGTGCCCCAGACACTGCCCTGAGTACTAAGGGCAGAGTGAACAGGACAGAAACCGTGCTGTCCTCAAGGTCACAAACCAAACCAAACCAACAGATTCTCCCTGTGGCACAGTCTAGCCTCTCCCGACAGCATGAAGAAATAGAACATGCCCGCAAGGTCCTCTGAAAGCCCAGTGAAGGAGAGTGGGTGTCCCCTAAGGGACTGAGGGGTACCCACTCTCACCTCACAGACGTGTGCCGGGGCGGCTCGGAAGAGCCGAGTGATAAATTTGTAGGAATTTTATGAGTTGGTTGTTAAAGATGGCCAGTGTTGAAAATGCAATGATCTACCCTTAGTAAAATTATATTAAAAACAAAGGTAATAAAAACTTATAACTACTAGCACTTATGAACTTTTTATGATTCTCTGAGCGGCTGATGGACTTTTACACCTCCTTAGGCTACTTTGTAGGGATGGTGGACACCCTGGCTGATGGCTGCTTTTGTGCCTCTCTTCCCCGCACTGGAAATCTACACCATGGACCACGGAAAGAGGCTGACGGGGCACACCAGAGAGACCACCTCGAGCCACTCAGCGGCACACGGCTGTGCAGGGCCAACCCAGAGAGGCAGCGGGGCCGGCTTACCTTGGCAGAGAACTTGAGATGGACTTCTGCCTCATCCGCGAGGCTCTTCTTCACCTGGGCCCACGCTTCTCCCAAGGAGCTGCAACACGAGGGAGAATGTCAGACCCAGATCGGAGATCTCGGCCCCTCCCTGGGCGGACAGCGGGTCTCCACGTGAGCCATCCCAAACCGAGCTGAGGATCGCAGGAGCTGAGGGCGCCGGTGGTAGCAGAGGCCAGGGAAACATCTGGAAACTCAGAGAACCAGGAGAGATGCGAGAGGAAGGTGGGGTGCAGCTGCAGGGTGGGCCCGGACACCTGCCTGTTACTGTCCCCATGCTTCCCGGCGCCCATCCCTGTTCATAGATGGGCAGTGCAAGGGCTTGCTGGTCTATCAAGGAAGAAGGCCAGCCACCTTTTCAGGGAGAAGCCCTTCGCAAACAGAAGGTGCCACATAGCCCTGCCCCCTGCCAAGCACCTCCGTGGGGGACGGAGGATGGTCTTCTCAACAAATGGTCAATATACCCACAGGGGAAAAGAAAGAATCCTCGACCCTAACCTGATGCCATACACGTGGATTATCTCAAGATGGATCACAGATCTACAGTGAGAGTGGGCACCACGCAAAAGCAGGCCTAGCAGGAGTGGGGAACTTGAAAAAAGGCCGACAGAGAAGGTCTGTCCCTGCAGCCAAGCTACACACAAGCCTACAATCCAGAGCTCGGAAGCCAAAAAGGCCCCGGGTGGTGCTGAGTCCGTGAGGCTACGGTCAGCAGGGCCACGGTCAGTAACTGGTCCCGGGCAGCTTTAGTGGCCTGAGAATGTCACCTGGGTGCCGCTGTGGGGAAGGAGGAAGCCCAGTGTCAGGCTCAGGACAAGGTCCAAGGCCCCGCCCCCAGGCTGGGCATTCACAGGTGGGCGGACCCCACTCCACACACTCCCATGGGTGCATCTGAGCGAGCACCCTCCCCCGTCCGCCCCCGCTCCCCCAACCCCAGAACTCCAGGCCCCCTGGAATTTAGGGGGAAAAAAAAAGGCAATTTAGAAAAGAAAAAAGCAACTTAGGGAAAAAAAGCAATTTAGAAATTCTCTCACTTGAAGACAGATTTTTTTCATCTGGCGAGAGGTTAATGAAAGAAATAAAACCTGAGATATATTTCCATCGCAATACACAGTCTGAGGCATGCCAAATCGAAATGCGCGCCATGTCACCATTACCAACGAGAAAAGGGCTCCAAAGGGCCCAAATCCCATTTCCTTTCCACGCAGGCGAGAGAAACGGAAGATGGAATAAATAAGCACTGCACATACCCTCCAGAATGGAATTCGGGCGCAGCGCCCGATGCCCCGCCCCGTACCACCAGCATCTTCCCAGGCTGCCCCGAGGTTCTAGGCTCTAGCACTGCGCTTGAAAACTGCAAGGTGCACCCCGCTAAGGTCCAAAGCTGTGTGCAAATGCAAAACAGCACTGCTGCACGTCGGGGGGGGCGGGGGCATCCACGTTCACAAACCCCAAGGGAGCCCACTGGGAGGAGTGTGTGCATGCAGCCACGACGGGGTGCGCGTTCATGACCGTGTTGCAGGGGCACGGCATCCATGCACGCGAGGCGAGCGTGTGCTGGGCTGCCCGGGTCTGTTAAGTGCATGTGTGTATACGGCGTGGTGGCACAGGCCTGGCTCGTGCAGCTGGGAGCATATGCTGAGCCTGTTGGCAGGATGCAGTGTCCCTGGCAGCAGCCCAGGCCGAGGAGGTGGAAGCCGGAAGATCCGAGAGCAACACTGCGTTTGCAGGGCAGGGGGGATGTCCAGGAAAGCCTCCGTGCCAGGGTGGAGGGGTGACCTCCCCCCCGGCCGTGTCCCCCACTTCCTACCCCTGTCTTGAGGCCCAGTGTGCAGGGCAGAAAGGGGCCACCGGGTCAGTGGCAAACCACAGAGGGGCGGCCTCTTGGCTGCACGGCGAGCCCACGCAGAGAGGCCTGAATCAAAGCCACCCTGGGCTGGCACAGCCCGTCCCCTGAAGGCTTCAAGCCGTGTGGGGGGATTTGGACTTAACATCGCCGCCCTCCGACGACCACAACCACCCACGACAGGACATCCACCATCCTCGGGGCTCATTTCCCCTTGCAGGAGGGGTTCCAACACAGCCTGCCCCGGAGGGCGGGAGGCACTGGGGAGAAGACCTCGGGGGACCTTTCAACTCTCCCCTCCCGAGTCTGGTCATCTTTATGACGGAGGCAAAACTCAGGTTATGTAAAATTAACTGTTTTAAAGAGAACGATCCCACGGCGTTTAGTACCTTCACCATATTGTGCAATCACCACCTCTATCCTGGTCCAAAACGTTTGTATTCCCGTTATGGACCCCCCCAAATTCATATGTGGAAGCCCTAAGCCCCGCACCCCAGTGTGGCCCCCCAAAATCATATGTTGAAGCCCTAAGCCCCCACCCCAAATTCATATGATGTGTCCTTCCCAAATTCGCATGTTGAAGCCCTAAGCCCCCCACCCCAAATTCATATGGTTGTGTCCCCCCAAAGTTACATGTTGAAGCCCTAAGCCCCCCACCCCAGTGTGGCTGTTATTTGGAGATAGGGCCTCTAAGGAAGTAATTAAGGTCAAATGTGGTCAAATGGGGTGAGGCCCTGATCCAGTAGGATTCATGTCCTTATAAGAAGAGACTCCAGAGAGTCTGCTCTCTCTCCACATCGAGGGAAGACCGTAGGGAGAAGGCGGCCACCTGCAAATCAAGAGGAGCGCTCTTGCCAGACCCCAACCCTGCTGTCTGGACACTGGGATCTTGGACCTCCCAGCCTCCAGAACCAGGATAAATTACATTCATGTTGTTGAAGCCGCCCGGTCTATGGGACTCTGTTACAGCAGCCCAAGCAGATGAAGATACACCCCAAAAAGGAAACCCCGAACCCATGAAGCTGTTACCCTCCATTGCCTGCTCCCCTGGCCAACCACCCACCTCCTTCTGCCTCCATGGGTTTGCCTATCTGCACATTTCATATAAATGGAATCCTATCAAGTGCAATCTTTTCATCCCACTTTTTCCACTTAGGATAATGTTTCTGAGGTTCATCCACATGGTAGCCCGGACTGGGACCGGATCCCTATTTATGGCGAAATAATATTCCATCACATATCCATGTATCAGTGCAGATGAACACAATTTGTTCATCCACCCATCCCTTGATGGACATTTGGGTTGTTTGCACGTTTTGGATACCATGGATCGTGTTGTTATGAACATGTGGGCATATGTATTTGTCTGAGTATCTGTTTTCAATTCTTCTGGGTCTAAACCTACGAGCGGAATTGCTGGGTCGTTCGGTAATCCCGGTTAGTGTTCTGAGGCACTGACAAATTGTTTTCCACGGTGGCCGCACCATTTGACATTCCCACGGCAGGCTGCAAGTCTTTGTCAAGAGATGAACAGAGAAGCCTTAAGTCTTCCACCACTAGGGACCCCTCTGTGGTTGGGAGGGTGGGGCTGAGCCTCCCCCAGTCCAGGCTTAGACCCAAGGAGGTCTGGGCCACTGCAGCTGGAGAGGGAGGGGAGCCTGGGCTTCGGGCCCATGGGAGAGGATTCTAAACAAGGGCCTGGGTCCAGAATCCTCTCCCACCCAGTGTCTCACCAGCCTTCTCTCAGAGAGAGGGGCACTGGGTGAGTGTCTGGGGGCCAGTGTCTAGCTACCAGGGCACAGGGCAGAGGGGGTGGGAGGCCCTTGGTCACTAGAGAGAAAATAATGTGGAATTTGCCCACTTGGAGCCAGGCCTATGCAGACTTCCCCATTTCAGTGGACCATGGCAGCAATCAGGGATCAGTGAAGAGGAACCCCGCCCTTCCCATCTGTGGTTCCTCCCCATTTCTGTCACCGTCCTCTGCACTCACCCTTCCTCCTGAGCAGCCAAGGAGTTCTGAGAGAGCTTAGCTAGGTTTTTCGCGTATTCCTCTTCGATCTTTATCCTGCAAAGGGAGAAAACCCCACACGTCAGCTCTCCAGCGCCAGGCCGTGGGTCTGACCTGCAGTCCTAGTGCTTACTGATTGTGGAAAAGGAACCCACTAGACCACACGCTCTGAGAGGTCGAGGCCTTTGTCTGTGCACCCAACGCACAGCAGGTGCTTAAAAAGTCTTCGTTGGTTGGACGAACTTATGTGAATCTCTGTCTTTTCATCTGTAAAGGGGTATTTCCACCTGTCTCCCGGGCCGGGAAGAAGTGCTCTCATTCACACGGCTCCTAGTCCAGGGCTGGACACACGGGAGGCCTTCAGATCAAGACGTAACTCATGACGGACCACCGAGACACCCGGCGCTGCCTCCCTTCCGGCCCCAGCACTCGGGGCCTAGACCCTCCAATGTGGTGACAGCCCCTGGGAAGCAGGAAAAACACCTCCCCCTGCGGCCTCCCTGCCTCCCTCCCCCCTCCCCATGCCTCCAACTGTCAAGCCAGCAGGGCACAAGTATTTCCATGGAAACCAGGCAGTGCCCAGAGCTGGGACTGATTCCATTTCCCTAGAGAGGGAAGTGGCCTTGGATTTTGCTTCCAGCAGGCGGGCCCTTGACACACTTTCCAGGCAACCCTCTGGGGGAGTGTTCTGTATTATCTGGCACATCGTGTTCGAGTCTTGTCAAAGGCAACGCTCACCGCCTGACTGGTCCTCTGGGGCGTGCTGGGACACCCAGGGCCACCACTTCGAAGCCCCGGGCCCATCACCCAGCAAACGGGAAGGCCCTAGAGATACTCCGGGGGCTGCAGCACTTGTTCCCGGCCGCTGGGAAGCTGATGGCCCACGGGTGCAGTGATATGGAACAGGGGGCCTGACTGAGCCCCCTGGCATCATTCTGAGTAAGATTTATTTTCTGCTTTGCCCCGAGAGACCCACGGCCACGTTCCCTCTCTCACGGCTCTGCCCTCACCGCCACCTCTGGCCGGGTCCCTCCGTCCCCCCCTTGCCATCGCTCTGCCCTCCCCAGGGTGACGTGGGCGGTCAGTGTGCAGCCCCCAGCCTGCGGCCAACACGTCTTTCTGGAAAGCAGGTCCAAGCGCTCCTAGCTTCACACCTCCAAAACTCCTTGATGCCAACTGCACACGCCAGGCACATGGCCGGCCTGTCTCTGGAGAGAGCACCGGCATCCCCTCCGAGCCCTGCCCAGCTGCCCTACACGGGGGCCACGGCGAACGCCCCGGCCCCAGCACACTCCACCTCCCCTCTCACCGCTCCTGGCTCGGGAAGGCCTCCCGAGAAGGGTCTGCGTTGCCCACGGAAGGCCAGTGTGTTCTCAGGTGGCAGATCCCATTTATCTGCTAACACGACATTTTTATGAAAGGACAACACCATACGTGTGTTCAAACTCTGACTCTATGGCCATTTTTCCTACCCACCTGCTTTATACCACTATTAGCACGCACCTGAGCTATGCATCCTCTCCATTCCCTACCAGCGTAATGGCTCATTAGACAGGGATCTGATTATACAAACAGAAAAGGGACCTCCGAAGGAAAAGAGGAGGTGCTTTAAAATGCCAAAGAATTATTACTACATTATGGTTATCCTTAAAAAAATTTTTAAAAATATATTGGCATTTACTGTAAATATTTCCAGCGTGCCCTGGAAACTCCAGGCGGAAGTTGTGTGTGTGTGTGCACATGTGTGCAGGTAGGTGTGTGCTTTATAGGGTCTCAGAACTTGGAGGGACTGACAGGCGGGAAGGTAGAGAAGGAACTTCTCCTACTTTTTCCTGTTTCCATCAGGCTGAATGTACAGTTTCCTCGTTTTCATTCAGATAGACCATCCCTCAGCAAAACCGCGATCATAACCCCTGCACCTTTCAGTGACCTCACCTGACTCTCCCATCTCACCAAGCTCCCTTAACACAGGGATGGGGGGACCAGGTCCGGGACACGGTTTGGGTTCAAAGGTGAATTACAAGGCGACATTGTCCTCTTTTGTTATGATGGGGACAGGGCTTCCAATGAGGGCCATGCAGGTAAGTCAAGGAGCTAAGCAGTCTATGTGGGGAGACAGCAGGGAGTGGCGGAGACTGTGGCAAACCAGACCTCATGCTACTTCTACGGGGTGGCCGCCACTTGGCTCCGGCCCATTGTTCTGTGAGCCTTTCTTGCCAGACTTTTGGCTTTCTCAAGACAAGCCAGAGAGCCAGCTTTTAATGGAAAATCTACCAAAGCTTAAACGTACCACAGAGGTCAAAGCAACACATCTGCAGGTTAGATTTGTCCCGAGAACCACAGCTGGTGCCCCCAGTGCCTCACACTCCCCATGATGCTAACCAGGCCCAGTGCTCATTCCAGTTGCTCCCCAACCTCAGGCTCAGGGGCCAAAGCGGGGGCTGTCTGCGGCCGAGGCAGCTGGGAGGGGCCCAGGCCTCACCTCTCCCGGATGAATTCTGACATTTCCTTCTGCATCTGCTTGCCCTTCAGTTGCTTCTGAAGCAGAAGCTCAAACCCAGCCACCGTGCCATTGCCTTGGGGGTCCTTCTTATCAGCCTAGAAGGGACACAGAAGCACGAGAGGTTAGGAGACAGGGGTGTCCAGAGCCGCAGGGAATGGAGCGTGGGGAAGGCGGTCCCCGAAGGGACCCGGGTGCCCCGGGCGAGCGGATCTCAGCCCAAGAGCTAGGCCGTGGTATCCTCTCACACATTCACATAAGATCACGGGGGCGTCCGGAAGAGACCAGACTGAAGGGAGGCCAGGGTTCTGGAAAAGGGCAGGGTGCCAGGGTTGACATCCCAGCTGGGAAGCCTCGGGCAAGCTCTCCACTCGGTCCAAGCCTGAGCTGCTTCATCTGTGAAGCTGGGGAATACTGGCGCCCACCTCCTATGGTCATTTCAGGACAAGCGGCCTCTGGAAACGGCTTAGCACAGTGCTGGCCAGACACTAAATGCTCGGTAAGTGGTATCTAATATTAGTCAACTTTTAAATAAATCAGGACTCGGGGAAGATGGCCAAGTCAATGAAATGGGAGCTCAGTACCGGATCCATTTTGCAAGCAAATACTCTCAAAATTTCAAAATTAAATGTTTTCTTTTGTTTTGCCTGCACTTCCTCAAGGACATCTGAATACCTCTTCCCTGCCCGGCAGCCCTAGGTTCAGCCTTCCCTGCAGGACATTCATCCCGGCGTCTGCCCACACGGCTCTCAGAGACTTCTCAGCCCCAGGCCGGTACCCCACCTAAAGCTATGTTCTCCCCCATTACAGCCCTTCCCCACCAAGAATCCAGAGTCAGATGCTTTGGTACTTAATGGAAGGAGTTAAAAATGCATCCTTTGATTTCAGACAGGTGCATCAGTGAAGACCCTGTCCCAGGGTCCAAAACACCTAGTCCTTGTCTCGGCTCAGCCCCGGGTGACACAGTCAGGCCTTCCCAATCCTAGGCTGTGGTCCCCCCAGCTCCCCCCTTTGCAATAGGACTGGGTTGCCTCTCTAAGAACCCTTCTAGAGCAGACATTTTAGGAAAAGCGAATTTTGGAAATTTCAGAAAGGGGCAGGTGATGTCTAGAAAGAACCCCACTTCCTGTCATCAAGCATTTGAAAAGTTTATGGACATCCCCCGCCAACTCCCCCCACCCCAACATGGGATCCCCTTTCCTCAGCTGTCCTGACACAAAGCCCATGGGCCACACTGCTAATACCTCTTGTGACAGGGAGATCACTACCCCACGGGACACACCAAGTCATGGCACAGCTGCTCTGGCCAATTAAAAGCTTCTCCAAGTATCTTTAGGATCTGTGCCCTTCATCATGTAAATGCTACACCTTGATAAAAGCAAAAGAAAAATCCCCCAGAATACGGAGCCCCAATCTGCCTCCCACCAAGAATGGGTGTGCCGAGTCATGTATCCACACTCAGGAAAACCAGCCAGAAATGGTGGGCTTGAATGACTGTGTCAGCAGGGAGATTCTGTCAGAGGAAGAGGTGGTGGTCAGGAAAATAAAACCCAGAGTAAGTAGCAGATCCCGGCAGAGCCTGAATGAGGACAGGGGTGCACAAACATCGCTCTCTTAGATGCCGACCAGTGGCAGGGCCCAAAGGCTCCCCAATGCCCCCTCGTGAAATCCCATGCACCCTGACCTCCAGCTCCTGGGGTGTGCATTCCCAGGGCACCAGCTAGTCTCCCCTGAATGCTCTGCTTCCTGCACCCCTCTTTAGGAATGACGTCTGTAATCTCAGCCACTTCTCATCTCTGTGGCTGCCACCATCCTTCTTTAACTCCTGCACCTGCTGCTGATGTCCACCCCCACCCGCTCACAGCCCTCCCCGCATGATGCTTCTGAACCACATCACATCCTATTCCAACAGCTTCCTACTGCAAACAGAGGGAACCCCAGTGTACTCACAGGGCCTACAGGGTCTCGTACACTCTGACCTCTGCCGCCCGAGAGAACCTTCCTCGCGATGTTTGCTCCCTGCACAGATCCCCCCAAGACCGGGAAGAAACACCAGCAGGGCCAACAGGAATCGCTGGGTATCTTCGAGAACGCAAGTGACTTGTCAACAGAACACAGCACTTCTGTCTGGTGCTTGGCTAGCAAATCTTAAAACGGGTAGCAATCCATTCTGCACGGTGGGGAAACAAACAGCTTTTATTCTGTTTATTTATTGTTCCTCGGGGTCCCTGCAAAAGTTGTTGTTTTTCTCCTAAAGCGTACAAGTCAGTGGTTTTTAGTATGTTCACAAGGTTGAGCAACCATCAGCACTATGTGAATCCAGAACGAGGTGATGTCACTTTTAAAGTCATTGCTGACCTTAAATGCGCACGCCAAGGGCTATTCCTAGAGTTTCTGAGCAGGTGGGCTGTGCATTTGTCAAAAGATACTTACTTAATTGTGGGAAAATACACATAAGATAAAATGTACCATCTTATCCGTTTGTTTGTTTGTTTGTTTGTTTTTAAGTAGGCTCCACCCCCAGCCTGGAATCCAATGCAAGGCTTGAACTCACGAGCCTGAGATCGAGACCTGAGTGGAGATCAGAGTTGGACGCTTAACCAACTGAGCCTGCCCAGGCACCTCCACTGAAGTTGGCTTTAGGCTCTTGCCCTTACCGAGCAGCCAAGAAGTGACCCTTTTGCTTATCCGCGTCCTGTCCGGGGTTTCCGTGTTGCCCGGATGAATGAAAATCCTGTCGATTCTCTGAGATTTAGGGAATGATCTGGACTCCAAAGAGGGTCTTAAATTCCTGCCTTGGATCCTAAATCCACCACCAGGTTTCAACAGGAGAGGACCCTCTTTTTTGAGCTCCAGACCCTTCATGCCCTTCTGGGTGTCCACTCCTGATCCTCAGGGGGGAGGGCGGGGTGGGGGGTGGTCACACGGTGGGGGAAACTGAGGCACACTTACCCAGAAATAGTCACAATAGCTCCACTCGGTCGGTTTCAACAGCTGCTGTTCCAGCATCGTGTCTGGGTGTGGGAACGTCACGCAGTTTATCTGCAGCGCACAGAACAAGAAAGGAAACACCTTGTCTGAGGGGTTGGGAGCAGCTGGGAGGGCTCTGCCCCTGGAACACAGCATTACTGAGGTTGACCAGAATGCGCACTGAAGTCCTGGGAAGCTCCAGGGGCCTGCATTTCAAATGAGGAGCAACAGTACTCACACCCACCCCAGAGGGGCTGGAACCGGTACCAACGCTCTGAAGGGCAGTGTAACAGATCTATCAGAACCGCACACGACCTGAGCCCCCAAACCAGTGACTGCAATTCAAAAAGCACGCCCCACGGATGTTACCTGCGCGTGCGTGCAATGATGCACACACACGGTCTTTCAGACCCATCTGTAGCAGCAAAAACACAACCCCACTGTCCATGGGCAGGGGAGTGGTTAAACAGAGCACGAGACGGGGAAGGGGGGCATCTCTGGGATTTGCATGGGCAGCAGAAGACACCGAGAGAAAGTTCTTATGTGTTAATATGGAAGGTGCACCAGGTCCTATTATTAAGTGGGGAAGAAAAAAAAAACAAGATGTAGAATAGTATTTATAGTATGCCTCCATCTGTGTAGAAAGAGAGGAAGAGAAGAGGAGAAAATATGTACACATTTGGTTATTTATCTATAGAATACTTCTGGAAGCTGATAACCTCACCCCCTTCCAGAGAAAGGAACTACTCGGCCGAGACGTTACCGTGTGCGTTTTAATCACCATAGGTATTCTACAAAGAGAGTTGAAAGCGATCACGCAGGGTGTGTGCTTGGGGCTGGCCCTTGCCCAGGAGAGGGCAGTGCAGACACTCCTGGGGCCTGTCTCAGACTTTCCTGCCCAAGCATGTCCACGGTGTCCCAACTTTCCCCACCAGGTGGAAATGGTTTTACCACTGCTCTTGCTGGTGTCACTTCAAGCCCAGGAACCGCTCCTGGGGAGCCTGTCCATTGGAGTTCTTTGTCTGTAAGCCTCACCGCGGAGCCGCCTGATGTTCGAGGCAGAAACTGTGCAAAAAACCCTGGGGTTCTGGACAGAGGCCTCAGACTCTAATGTGAGGCAGCCGTGCAAACGGGTGAGATTCCCGCCTGCACAGAAACTGCAGTTTGGGGTGAGGGTGACCGGCCTCCGCTTTGGGAAGGGGTGGGGTCTGCGGAGATCTGTGCAACGAGCAGATTCCTCTTGGCTCCTGCTAGCTGTTGGCAAGCCAGCAGGAGGAGTCCAGCGGGTCGCCCGTCAGGTGACACAACCCAAGAGAGGCTGAAAATCGGGATGAGTGTGTGAAGCGTCTCCATGTTTAAATGTTGGCACGTAATTCAAAGCTAATGGGAACAATAGTGAGGACAATGTCAATGACAGCACTGTGTAAGGCAAAGCTGAGTCAGGCCCAGGGGCCCCCAGCCTTGACCTTGGGGTTCAGGGGCTCACGGGCGGCTGAGTATATGTAGCACACGCATCGGCCCCCATCCCGCCCCGGCTGCCAGGGGCCCGGGTCTCGCTTGCAGTCCCAGAAGGACAGCATGGGAGAAGTCCCAGCCAAGGACAGGAGCCCCCTCCTCCGGGACACACACGCCTGGTGGAAGGAAGGGCCGAGATGCCCACTCCAGAGGGAAGCAGGGAGGGGTAGGAAAGACCAGGGGCTAGAGGTGAGGGGGATGGGGAGGATAAGGACCCATCCCTGCCATTGCATCTACCACTTTGTAGGGGACACCGGTCCTTGGATGGCCTGGCCAGGGGCCCCAGGGTGCCTGCCCCCTGCCTCTACCAACTCTGGTTTGGGGATGTCTGCTCCCAGCGGGCCCACAGGAATTTCCCCAATGCTCCTCCGAGCTCTGCACCCCCTGTTGGGCAGCCCGAGAACTACACGCCCGCCAGCCCCCCTGGTGGGGAGGCAGTTGTAACCACCCACTGGGAATCCCTGGGGAGCCCTTCCCTCAGGCGCCCCACCAGGAGCCTTGCACATTCCCAGTCATCACCCCAGCAGCCCCACGAGCTGGGTACCCTGGGCCTCATTTTACAGGAGGAAACGGAAGATCACAGAAGCTTAGCCTCTGAATCCGGGCTGGGCTGACAGCAGAGCTCAAACCTCAACCACACTGCTATTCAGAGGAACGCTTACTCGTCCACCGAACGCATGCAAACATTTCTCACGTGCCCCTCGCGATGCTAGATCTTTCCAGCACTTTGCACACATACATTTATAATTACACTTCTCACGACCGTTTAATTGGCCAGACTGCTCCATGAGGGGAGGGAGACCCTTTCCCTGCTGTTTCCCTATTCCCTGGCAAGCACAGGCCCCCGAGGAGCGCCCTGAAAGTGTTTCTTGGTGCAATGACTAAAGGCCAGAGGCGGACGGAATGGTCTCTGTCCTCAACGGTTTTGTAGCCTCTCGAGGAAGGCAAACAAGTATGGAAGTGATTGCACGCTTTGGGATGAATCTACCACTGGGGTAAGCATGCGCGCTGGGACTGCAGGAAGGCCTGGGGCTTGGGGAAAGGAATCTGAGCGCGTTTTAGGGTAATAAGAGGGTGAGGGTTAGGCAGACAGCGGGTGGGAGGTACAGGGGGTTGCAGGGAGGAAAAGGGCCCGGGGTCTGAGGAGGCACCCACAGCAGGGGAACGCAGCTAAACTGAGGCCGGAGGTGGACCTTGCAGGCGCGGGAGCCCCGGAAATGTCCAGCAGGACAGTGACCTGACTGGGCTGCTGGTGGGGTGAGCTCTCTGGAGGACGAACACGGACCTCGGCCACCAGGGAGGCTCCCCAGGGACTGGGAGTCGTGATGGTGGCCCCGAACCATGCAGCAGAAAGGATAAGCAGAGGTACATGAAGAGAGTGTGCAGGGAGACCTCCCCGCACCAAGACGTGAGCTCAGTGACTGTCGATCTGGGGGTGATTTTGCTCTCTCACCACCCCACCCCCACCCGGGGGCATCTGGCAAGGCCAATGGGAGACATTTGTGGTTGTTACAAAATGGGGAGACATTTGTGGTTGTTACAAAATGGGGAGGGCACTGCTCATAGTCCCTGGCGGGTCGAGGTAAGCATCCCACCATGTGCAGGACCGCCCCCACCATGAAGAAGTAGCCAACCGAAAAGATGAGCGAGTGGGGAAGCTTTCCCCATGGAAACCTCCAGGTGTGGACTCCCATGCCCCCCTGGGGGACATTTTCCAGGTTAACACCACCTCCAGGACAATGCCTGCCCTCCTCCCAAAGCCTCCCTGGGCAAAGCCCGAGCCTCGATGGCATTCTCCTCCCCGAAAACACAGGGGACATGCTAAGGAACCGCCTTCTGCTCCGAGAAGAGCTAATAACATACCAGCCATTGCCCTAAGTGCTTTACCCGCCAGGCAGGTGCCATTATTATCCCCGTTCTACAGAGGAGCAAACTAAGGCACAGAGAGGTTGAGTAAGTTCTGCAAGACCACACAGCTTGTGTGTCACGGGAGAGTCCGTGTCTGAAGTCAGGCAATCCGGCTGTTGTTAACTCTTGTCACGCTACCTTCCACACCCCACCCAAGGCAGGGGCTCGGGTAGGAAGGAGTGCCCTACAGGGAGCAGGAGAGGGGGTATGCCTCTCAATGACTACTGTTTGGGAGAAGTTCCGGAGCCACCCCCACCCTCGCTCCTCCTGAGATCACCATCCGCGACCAGTAACATCTTCACGCTGACACCAACTGTTTTCTCCAACCCTTAGATACACAGAGTAAGCCCCTCTCTTCCCTGAGGCTCTGCCAGGGCCGCCCTGCACAGGGGAAGCCCAGCCGCCCCCCCCCCACCGAAACTCTCTGGGGTGTTCTAAGGGGGCTGCAACCGCCACTTAAGGCCCTGGCCATAACATCACAGCTGCTGAACACACCTGCAACCCACTCAAGGGGCCTGACGTGGGGAGTCCTGAGCGCATCCCCCGTGGCCCCCAGTCCTGGCCCAGCGCAGAGCTGGGTCCTTCACCCACCTATCTGGCAGCTGGCTCTTAATTTGCTGATGTGGGAGGGTGTGGAAGAGGGGAAGTCAGAGCAACAGGGTCTGCGGAAGCAGAAAAGACCCCAAGGGCTCACCTCTAGCCCACCAGCTCCTCCCCCACGCCGGGATCCAGGGCGTCCGATGCACCACAGCGGGAAGCGGAGGCTAGAGTCCCCCAGATTTCTCTTTCCAGGAGAGGAGTGTGGCTTTGTCCTCATCTCCTCTGGAATCCTCTAGATTTCAACCCACCCCACAGCTGGCCCTGCCTGAAGCTTGCTCCAGGCCAGGGGAAGGGAAGGGGAGGGGAAACTGGAATGTCAGAATTAAGTTCAGTCCTGGCTCCTCAGCCCCACCTGGATGCACCGCCCTTTGCTGCTCAGCAAGCATCTGAGCAAATACCTGAAAACGTCTGCTCCGTGCGATCTGACAGATCTGACAACGCGGGAGATTGCTCACCCCATCCCCACTCACCTGTGCCCCAGGAGCTGGGCACTCCTCCATCCCCCAACCCCTTCCAGTGGCCCTGTGGGGTCTGCTCCCTGGGAAACTATGAGCTCTGGAGGATCAGAGCCCAGAAGGAGGGCTGGGAACAGGGCGGCAGCGGGGGCGGGGGGGTGGGGGTGTCGGATATCAAGTGCTATGTGGACAGGAAAGAACAGCAGCTTAGACGCAGGCCTTCACCCATCTCAGCCCGGACATGTGAGGGGTGTCCAGGGCCCCCTGGGCGGGCAGCCAGCAAACCCAGCTCAAGGCCGGGGCTCTGCTCCTCGCCTGCTCCGTACCCTCTGGCCAGGCCCTCCTGTCTGTGGTTTTCCAGCAAAAATTCCCGGAGGCTTAAGTGTTTATTTAAAACCCCTGGGGTTGTTGGTGATAATGCAAATGTCCCGGCTGGACCCCAGATCAACTAAGTGTCGGCCTGGGAAGGAACCCATCGAGGAACTTGCATTTTAAACACGTGTCCCAGAGGCTTCGGCTGCCGACTCCACTTCACAGGCTCGCTCTGAGAAGCTCTGATTTAGGTCGGTGGGAAGGCAGAGGGAAGATGAGAGGCAGGGACAGACAATGAACCGGAGAGGAGACTCTGACCAAGTGCCAAGCTCTGGCCCAAAGCCAGGGCACAGCAGGTGACTCGGGCCCCGCCCTGGGGCCCCCAGGGCCATCCCCATCAGCCAAGTGCCTTCCACTTTACATTTGTTCTTTTCACTTTTCTTCTACAATTCTAATATACCGCCCTCCCCTTCTTCTCCCTCTTATTGCCCCGTTTCTGGGAATTTTAGGGGGCTCCCGCTTTGCCTCTGGGGCATTTTGTGGCCCCTTTGGAAATGAGGATGATGCCCCCGGGAGGTCTGCCCCTGGTGCCGGCTCACGCCCTGCCCCAGGCCCCGTGCTCCTCCACAGGCAACCTCCACAGGCGGGGAGAGCACAGGTCTTGAGTCCTGATGCACCCCAGCCAGGCGAGGCATGGCTGCCTGCCTCAGTTTTGCCATCTGTAAACAGGGTCGAGAAGATGAGTGAGCACTGAGCACTTACTACATGCCAGGCTGTGTTCTAAGTGCTTCCGCCATACAGACTCATTTAGTCCTCACCCCACCCCCAGGGCATAGACACCCACCGTCTCCCCATTGTACAGATGTGGACACTGAGGCACAACGGGGCAGAGAAACTCGCCCCGGGCTCCTGTGCTGCTAGCAGGTGTTTCAACCGACCCTCTGGCTCCAGAGCCCTTGTTCACAGCCACCACGTGAAGTTGGTCCTGTCACCTCCACCGCGCACAGCGAGTGGAGAGCTCAATGAGCCACTCAGAACACTACCGGTGCATACTCAATGCACACCAAAGGGGCAACAATTATTGTTGCTGATGTCACTGCGTACCCAACCCTCTCTCTTCTTCCAGAGCAGGATTTTCAGCCTGCATGAGCCAGGGAAGCATACCCATTCTCGGGTCTCATGTCCATGGGGGTGGTCAGAGTGGCTCAGAACTGCCCCTACTGGAGCCTGGGGGAGCAGGTCCCCCATTTCCAGCTCCCCTGCGCTCGCAACCAAGCAGCACACCCAGAACCACACTTCTCACGTCTCTAGTTCTTGCAGTTGGAGCAAGGCATTTGCCCCCTTTCCCCAACACATGGCTGGGGTATGTGTGTGTGTGTTCGGGGGGCCCTCCTCAGCTTGGCTTGCCCATGGGGGCTTGGTGGGCTTCTGGAAGAGCCCCAGGAGGCGGGCTGGCAAGAACTGCCTGCTCCTGTCCGGAACTCTATTCTTAGGGTGCTTTCTCTTGTTTTTAACTTTGACACCTTCCACAAGTCACCCCGCACGAAAGCCACCCCGCCATGGCTATAATTTACATGTCACGTCGCTGGTGCCGAGCACGGTCCACCCCCTCCAACCCGCCTGGGCATGTGTACCCCCCACCCCCACAGCCTGCCCTGGCTTCTGCATCATTCCCACCCCGCCTGCACTCGGGTCACCCGGAGGAAAAAAAGTGAAAAGTGAAATTAACAGAAGGCATGGGGACGGGGTGGGGGTAGGAGCAGGGGTTGGGGTGGGAGGCAGGGGGAATTTCCACAACATCCAAGCTTGGAAACTTCCCAGATGCCAGGCTTTGGGCTTGCACTCGGTGGTCCACATTGCCATGGCAACCACCCAGCATGGTAGAAGAGCCCCAGCTTGCCCCAACCTGTGCGCACCCAGCAGAAGTCGCTTACCGTGATGGTGTTTTCCTTGCTCTGCTTTTTGCTTGGTGATGAGGATCCCAGGTTCTGGGGAGAGAGGCAAAAGACATCATCGAAGCTGTTCTCCATACTGGACATTTCGGTCTTCTATTCGGGCTCCCCGAAAGCCCCCGTGCTGGAGTAGTTCGGGGACGTGAGCGCGTGCTCCCATTAACCCTTATGTCACCATATTCTGGAAGAGGGCAGGCGGGAGTGCCCCTGACCCCACGCTGCTCCCAGGGGGGTGGCCGGGCTTGCAGGAAAATGGGAGGAAGCCTCCAGCACAGGATCTGAGGGAACTGCTCCAAACCAGGTCTCCCTCCTCTTCTCCCAGTCCCTGATTTGGGGAGTTAACCCCTCAGCTGCCCTCTGCTGGTAAACCGTTCCGCGTGCCGCCTGCATCCTCAACCTACAGAAGCTGCCTGGGGGAGCGGAGAGTTAAAGTAGGCCACCACCTCCAGGCACCGAGGACTCAGAACAGGACTTCTGATCTGACTCCCCCGGGGTCCGACGTATCCAACCTTCAATCCGTGCACCGTGCACAGGGGCGCGTGGCCACCTCCGAGACGTGCTGCTCTCCGACCCCGAGAGGCAGGAGGGATTTCTCAGCACAGCCGCCTCTCCGCTTTCATTCATTCAGCCTTTGGATTGCCTTTTTATGTCTTCCTGCTGCCAGCAAATAAACCACTGTCCCAAATACCTCCAAACCCACGGGTCCTAGGCAGCTTGCCCCAGTCCCAGGATGATCCTGGTACAGAATATTAACGCTTAGGCTAGAAACACCACATTGGTCACAGGAGCCTGTGACCTTAAGGGGAGAAGGGTCAATTCTGGGTCTTCGTTGCCCTATTATTAGCAGTTACATTAGTGATTCCAGAGGGTCTCCGAGCAGGGCATGTGATGGCCACTCCCATCCTGAGCCACTCAATGAGTGGGGAAGCAGGCTCACCCCAAGGCACGGTCGGGGGCCATTATAGGCCTGTCCTGGGACCCACAGCCTTCTTTCTCTGGTGGAACCTCAGGACGTGGTTGTCAGAGAGGCTTCTCCAGCCAGCCTCAGGGAACCAGATTTGGGGTTCACACAGCCCCGGATCATTCGCAGGATGAGCATCTGGGTGTGGGGGTCAGCCCTGCCTCAGGATCCCCTCTGCTCACCACACAAAACAGGGCCCCAAATCAGGTCCCAGCTGCACCTCCCAGAGCTGACCCAGCAGCTCTCTGGGCGGGGGGGCGGGAGGGGGCAGCGCCTCTGAAGCAGAGTCTGGGGGCCTCCCTTGGGGACACACTGATCTACGTTCTGTCATTCATCAAGGCTCCCCTACTTCTGGTAGCTGGTATAGCAACCCCAGCAGGCTCTGGGGCGACTTCAAGATTGTGACCAACCACAGCTTTGACAGACATTTTCAAAGCATCAACGCATCCAGCTCGCCTACCCTGGACCCTCCCGAGCTATCAGTGGTACGCCAGGGCATTTGCTCAAACTGGGCCACCTGGGAGGACGATGGAGTCTGCGTGGTAGGGGCTCAAGCGCCGCTATCCTGTGACAGGTGCAGGGCTCTCTTGCAGGCTCATCCATGCCAGGGAGGGGGATGAGGGAGGGGAGCCTCTGGTGTGGTCAGTGGAGGAAATTAGAGCCCCGGCCTGAGTATCTCTTTTGTCTATATTCTTCTAGCTCTCCACTTTGAGGCTGGCTGTTTTCCAAGTGTCTCTGCAGGGGTGGAGAAAGATCTCCATCATCCACAAACCTGGATTTGGGGACCACTGTGTCTGAGGCTCTACGGAATGAAGCCGGACACAGAGGTTGTCATCCTCCCCGTAACTCGGGCCAGGACGGGAGTGCGAGTAATGGCATTGTAAGGGGACGTTCAACGTGTGGGTGTTGGCATCTTCCCACTCTCTGCCCTCCTGGTGAGGCAGTCTCAGCCAGGGCTGGGCAGGGGGTGACCCCAGGCTCCTCCAGGCACCTTGGGCTCTGTGCTTGCTGCCAATGGCCCATGGCTATTGTTCTGACATCATCCACATAAATGTATGTCATATATATGCACTATATGTCCATACATCACACACACACACACATCCCAGTAGCACTTCACGAAAGGGCCCCAAAGGAATGACTCCTCCATCACAGGGAGACTACCTACTAGCTAGAAGTTGGTTTCTAAATATTATTCCGTACTAAGAGGAACCGGGCTCCTTGGAGAAATAGCTCATTCCAGATGCCAGGTCGATCTGGAACATGTTATTATTCTGGGAGGTTAGAGACCGTGCAAAGAATGATGTGATCTCGCAAAAGGACCCAGGCGCCTGCAGAGAGAAGTTCCAACAAGCCAAATTTGGGACAATTTGAGCATGGTTATGGATAATGACTACAAATGAGTAACTTCAAAAGGCAGTGAGTATTTCTTTATGGAAGAATGCCCATAAAAATGGATAAAGCATCACAAAATCACCATTTGCAAACCCCAATGTCAAAATGGATTCAGGCCACGGTCACCAAGGATGCTCAAAGCATTGAGTGAAAAGCCTGTGAAGGAACAGGAGATGCCCATGGTCTCACACTATCATCCCCCCGATTACTGGCGAATTAAAAAGGGAAAACGTACCCTTGCAAAGGGATCATCGCATTAACCGGGAGCTCAAACTCCCGGTTAGCATCGCTGGTAGGGTGCTAACCCGGGAGGCCCCAGGTGGTAGATATTCTTGCCAGAGATGTTAGCCCCGACTCTAAGCATAGGAAAACATTAGACTAAGCATGTGGGTCATTCTAAACTGAGCTGGTCTCTTCCCAAATAGAGTCACCAGGGGTTAAGACAAAAGACCAAATGTATGGCGGATACAGTCTAGATTAAAAGAAGCTAAAAGCCAGAAATGAGATGAAATCGTAAATCGTAAATGGAATACTATTTGGCCATAAAAAAGGAACATGGTGCTAATACACCTGCAACATTCACGGAGCTTGAAACATGGTTTTAAGTGCAAGAAGCCAGACCCAAAAGACCACATGGGGTGCGATTCCACGTATATGAACTGTCCAGAAGAGGCAAATCCATGGAGACAGAAAGTAGATTAGTGGGTGCCAAAGGCTTTTGGGGATTCTTTCTGGGGTGATGAAAACGCTCTAATACTGATTATGATGATGACTGCGTAACTCTGTGACCACCATGCTGTGCATTTTAAATGGCCGAATTGTAGGCTGTGGGAATTACATCTCAATAAAGCCCCCAAAACGGAAACTAAAGAGATCCAGCCAACAATGTATCCACGTGAGAAACTGGAATGGACCCTGGACTGGGGAGAAAAGCAGCTATAAAAGACATATTGAGGACAAACGGGGAGTTTGAGTATGAATTATAGATACTAGATGAAAATACCCAATTAATGTTTTCTTATGTGGGCTAACGATATCCCATATTCATGTCTTCCCCTAGAGAGATAGGCTCTGAAATGTGCCCAGTTAAAACAAATGTCAGGGGGTTCCCGGGTGGCTCAGTTGGTTGAGGGTCTGCCTTTGGCTCAGGTCTTGATCTCAGGTCCTGGGATCGAGTCCCTCTGCTCAGCAGGGAGCCTGCTTCTCCCTCTCCCTCTGCCACTCCCCCTGCTTGTGCTCGCTCACTCTCTCTCTCTCTGTCAAATAAATAAAATCTTTTAAAATGTAAAATAAAATACACTATATCAAAAACTAACGATGTAATGTATGGTGATTAACATAACAATAAAATTTTTTTTTAAAAAAGTAAAATAAAATAAAACAGTATGTTAGACTTTGCTTTAAAAAGAATCCCAGGGGAGGGAAAGAATGGGGATATAAATGAAACAAGATTAATCGTTGCGGTTAAATGATTAGTCCCTAGGACTTTATTATAGCATGCCTTCTACTTTTCTAAATGTTTGCCAATGTGCATAACAAAAGTTTTTTTTTTCTTTTTTTAATGTCTTTTGCCTATGATTCTAGAAAGTTTTTCTCCTTCCCTTTTTAAAAGTCCCTCCCCAGCCTGGTCTCCGCCTCTTGCCTGGGTCACTCTGCCATTACTGGGAGGTGAGAGCCCCGGGGGGTGGTGAGCTACAAAGCAGTGCTGGGTAGACCCACGAGCCTGGGCTGGGCAGGTCTTCTGACCCTGTCCTCCCGGCCCCGTGAATAGCCTGGGTTCCACCTCCTCGGCAGGCGGGATCCAGAATGAAACTTCTCAACGACTTCCCGGTACCGCTGGAATAAACCCAAGCTCCTCACAATAGGCCAGTGCAGACTCCTCCAGCCCCTGCCCCCCTTCCGCCCTCCCTGCACTGCTGATTCAGGAAATCACAGCCCCACTCAGCCTCTGCGAGTTCGTTGAAACCACTGCTTTCCTTCGCCTCCTCTGGGCATCCACATGTGCTGTTCCCTCCACCTGGAAGGCTATTCCCCACCACCCACCCTGGGCCACACTAACCCCTCAGTCACCTGTCCAGTCTTAGCTTACTCTCGCTTCTTCTGGAGCCCGTCACTGACATTTCCAGCACCCGCTGTGGCCGCCCGAGCAGGTACCCAGAGCACAGACTTCCTCCAGCACTTACCACAGCCGACACGAAATGATCACTTATCTCCTGTCTCCTCCGGCACCAGTTACAAGCCTCCACCAAGGCAGGGGCTCTGATTGCCTGTGACTCAGAGCCTGGCCACGAAGGAGACGCTCAAAGGAACACGTGTCACTGGACTGAGGAGGGTCCCCGTTAGGTGGGTGAGTCTCAGCATCTTACCTCCACCTCAAGCTCCCTTCTCCAATGGGACCCTGAATTTTCCAAGCCCTCGGTCCCACCCCCTCTCTCCTCTCCCACGTAGGAAGCCAGAACAACGGAAAGTATGGTCACAAAAGGGCCCGGGCTCTGGTAGGTCACTTACCCGGCCCCGTACCCACTCCACATGCACAGGGATCAGAGGGATCCCACCACCGGCGGGCAGGCAGGGGACAGGCCAGGACATGCTTCTGCAAAGGAGGCCAGCAAAACTCAGCCTCTGATGCCCCAGCCTCCCAGGCTGGTGGGCCCCATTTATCCAGTATCGGGGCAGCCTGCCCCAGGGTTGCAAGCCAGAAACCTCCACTGGGTGGCACCAGATCACCACCACCTGTGCCCAGCCATCTGGTCTCCCAGGACTAGGGTAGGAGCAGGTAGGCACCCCCTGGGCTGCAGGGCACCCAGCCGGCAGTCCTGCCCATGACAGGGCGCAGTAGGGACACGTTCCGTCCCCCCCCCACCAACATTCTAATTTCCCTGATGAGTTTGCTTAAGGGGGAACAGCTCACAGAAAAAAGAACACACAGGGCTTTGAGCAAACCCTGGGCAAGCCGCTTAACCCACGCCCAACCCTGTTATCTCAAATGGCCCTGTGTTCATTTGCTCATTCATTCATTCTTCAGGTACTACTACGCCATAATTGTTATCCATTATAACTGGCAGCCTGGGACCGTGTGAGTAAACACTACACTCGCCAAAGAGCACTGTATATACTTTTGGGGATCATTTGTTGGCGGCACTCTCTGTAAACACTAAAACTTCTCATCCTGTGGGGGCCTGGGTGGCTCAGTCGGTAAAGCGCCTGCCTTCGTCTCAGGTCATGATCTCAGGGTCCCGGGATCAAGCCCCGCATCGGGTTCCCTGCTCGACAGAGAGCCTGCTTCTCCCTCTCCCTCTGCTCCCCCTGCTTGTGCTCACTCTCCCTCTGTCAAATGAAGAAATAAAATCTTTCTAAAAAAAAAAAAAAAAACCTCTCATCCTATTTCTGTGATTGGCCCACACGCTGCGTTATTTTTGTTACTTTGATGATACCTCAACTCTCCACGTTATCATCCGGAAAGAATCCACTCCACCTGCTCCTTAAAGCAGTTGCTCCCTGCCCTCTCCTGGGTCTCCACAGCTGGCCTACCCCGCATCCCCAAGTACCAGCACCCTGCTTCTCATAATGTGCACGGTACCTGCCTTCTACTCAAGTAAAATGTGTTCATTCTAAGAAACGTGCAAGATCCTGCAAAGTATAAAGAAAATAGAAAGTACTTTAGACCAAGGTTTCTCAACCTCAATACCACTGTATTTTCGAACTGGAGAATTCTTTGTTGCGGGGGCAGTCCTGTGCTGTATGGGATGACTGGTCATATTCCAGAACCCTCCTCACTAGCTGCCAGCCAGGAGTACCCCCTCCCCAGCCGTGACAACCGAAACGTCTCCAAACAAATGTCCCCGATGGAGAATCAGTCTTAGACGCAGATAGGACCAACATCACCGTTCTGATTTCTTTTTCTTCTAGTCCTTTGTCTTCATGAACATATGGATTTCCTCCTCGCAAGTAAGACTGGCTGTGTATGGAGTGTGCGTGCTGCTTTTCCCACTCAATATTAGGTTCTCAGTCTTTTTCTAAATTCATGACATTTTCTTCAGAAATGGGCTTGCTCATGTCTGCATCAAACAACGGGCTGGCTATGCAGGGCCAAAATCCACTGTACCCATCTCCCCTGTTGCTGGACAGTTCGGTTGGGTCCACTGCTGCAGAGCCGTAAATAATGCTCAAGGAAAACGCTTCCCACACGAATCAGAATCCCTGAATGTATTCCAAGAACAGATGCTGAAGGGCGATGCTCCTGGGTCCAAGCGGAGAAGGTTATAGCAATAAACGTTAAAAAAAAAAAAAAACGAAAAAGTTCGGGAACAACTTCACAGTATTTTGGGGCTGGGGGGTAGCGCCAGCTTGGTCAGATTATGTGATAACATAGCAGAATTTACGCTGGTGTCTTCAGACAACAGTCCACAGTCAGGTGGTAAATCAGCTTCATGCCAAATAGATTGATAGAGGCTGTGTTGCAAAGGCTTGCGGCGGGAGGGCTTGGCAGAAAACACACAATACCAGGGCTGTGTGTGATGTGTGCCACGAGCAGGGGCATGAAGGGGACGCGCGCGCGCGCACACACACACGTGCACTGTACACTATCGACCAGGCCCAGATCCTCCTCGCTCAAGGCACAGTCTTCTGACCAGCATCACCAGCATCCCCAGCGTCATCAGCATCCCCAGCATCATCAGCATCACCAGCATCATTAAGCATCATCCGGAGACTGCGTGGAAACAGAACCTCAGGATCTTTCCTAGACCTCCCGAATCAGAATCTACATTTTAACAAGAGGCCTGGGTGATGACTGAGTCCATCAGAATGTAAGAAGTTTCCGCCCACACGGACGTCCAGGTTCTTTTCCAGAGCACTAGCTGAACCGAACCTGAGCCCATTGCTCAGCCTCCTAAGACAACTTCATGAAGCTTCCAGAAAGGAATGCTCTTGCCTGCATTAAAGCTGAGTGTCACATTTTAGCCGACTGCAGCAACAGATCATGAGGCCTTTCTTTCTGGTGCACAGGACCCACTGTTGGGGGTAACAAGCAGCTACTCTCATCCTGAGCGCCGGCAACTATCACGATCACCATCATCATCCCTGGGGCCTGGAAAGGGCTGACAGAGTCTGCAGCCCTCATTAAGAACATCTCCTGGATATAACTGATGGATAGAATAAATAAGCCAATCCTCACTTCCTTAGACGCAGCTTAACGCAACTCAAAACACCAAGGGGCTCAGCACTGAGGTCCAGACTGACCACTCAGTATTCGTGTCACTTGCACGAGTCACTTAAGCAGCCTGAGACTCGGTGGCCTCACCTTTAAGACGGGAAAGGTACAGACAGCTGTCTGCACAGGTGTCAATGGATAGGATGAATGAGAAAACAGGATGGAAATGAATCTTAAACCATTCTCCTGTTTCCTCCCATCCCATCAAGGTCTTGCTGCTATTAAAGGTGAGAAAACATTTTATAGAATTCCGTTCTGAGTGAAGTCTGGGGCGGGGAAAGGGGGTGTGTAGAAGAAGGAAAGTGGCCTGGCCCCATCCATATCCTTAAAGTGACAGAAACCGAGACGGTATTTATCAGGAATCCAGACGGCAGGATGGACCCCTCTGCCCCAACGATGGTTACAATCCACCACCATCACCCCACTCCAACCACCCTCAACTTCTAGAGAAAACCAACAAACCACAATCGCCCACTCTCCCCCAATCACGGTACACAGGAACGACCCAGATATACCAGCCACTTTCCACTTGGGGCACACCCGGGCTGTGGTCACCTGGACCCCCATGTGGTGCTGTCTTCACGACACCTCCCTGGTGACCCCTACCTCCCATAACACGACCCCTTACCTGGGAATCACCGGTGGATTTTCGGACACTCATGTGGGCAGTCTCGGGAGGGTGCGCTGGGGTCCCTGCCACGTGGTATCCATTCACTGCGGGAAAGAAACACTGCTCAGATGCCATGCCGGCCACACACGGGCGACACCAACTACCTGCAACCACGGTCCCTTCCCCCACATCACTGTCTGCCAGCCTCTGAGATGTCTCGCTCGGCCAGGACCATCTCTTGGGATCTGACCAGGGTTCGCGGAGCTGGAGATGGTCCGCAAGCATCTCTCTAATCCCCAGCTCCCAACTGTGCAACTCTGGGGGGACCGCGTCTCTTTCTGAACCAGAGACGGACATGCTTCCATGACAGGAGGTGGGGTCACTGCAGTCCACAGCCGTCACTTGAAAATGCCACATCAGTTGTGGCCACTGGTGCTGACTCCACGGAGGCAGGCGGCCCCTCCACCACCTGGTGGCATCTCCCCAGAGGAACGCCCCCACCCTCGCTCTCACAGCACTGTAATACCAGTATAGAATGGAAAGAGCACGGGGTTTACTGGTTTCTATGAAATTTGGCTTTGCCCATTAATAGCCGGGGGGGATCACAGGCCATCCCTTTTGAGTCTCAGTTTTCCTAAAGTTAAAAAAAAAAAAGGAAAAATATTCAAGGCTGCAAAATTCTACCCCCATGACACTCACTCATGCTCCCAAGGTGAGCTGATCAATCTGCTCTCTTATGGAGGCGGTGGGGGGCAGGGCTGGCTTGTAGCATTTCCCAGTTTCCACTGGGAAACTGCCAATTCAAAGCTCCCAACACCCCCACAGGCTCCTGATGCCACAAGTATACACGGGACCCGTGTGATCTCAGGTCCCAGAGGGGACACTGCTCTCTGCCCCCTCGCGGACATGGTTACGTGAGCTTAGGGAGCAGTTCCTCCTCTGGGAGCCTCAGCTTCCGGATCTGTGAAATGGGGATAATCCCCCCCAGTCTCCAAACCTACTCAGTTGGCATGAAAATCCAATGGGGGCAGTACTTGCGAAAGGGGGCTTTAGTCATTACGTAATTCATGAAAAGGGGCAAGGGACAGATGGAGGGAGGGAAGACCACTGCTTCTGCTCCTGCATCCAATCGCCTTGAGCCCCAAGCCTGCGTGAGCTCTAGTAGACACCAGGGAAGCATGCTTTCCGCATGCCCCAGGCTTGGAGGAATTGCTGGAACATATAGACTGCACAGGTCGAACCAGAGAAGATACACATACTGAGGTCCAACGCATGGCTCTTGCTGGGAGCATGCTGCAGTGCTGCAGGAAACAAGGGGAGAGGTTGGCCGAAAGTCACTAACATCTACTGATCTGCTGCAGGCAAGCAATGGGGTGATGAAGCAATGGGGGTGATGAAGGCCACCCTATGTGGGAACCGTTTTCAGGCTGGGGAATGTCCCCCATTCTCTGCCCTTTGCAGTGAAAAATGCAGTGCCCCCTGGGAGCAGAAACACAGACGCCCCCCTCAGCAGACCCCTCTGGGCAGATGGGCTTCTCCCTGATCTGCAGGGCTGGCCCGCTACCTTGGAAGTGGGTGGGCACAGACCCGGGAAGGTGACAGAAAACTGGGCATGTGGCTGGCCCCCAGTGCAGCGACTTGGGGAAGCAACAACCACCAAGAAATTAACCCGCATGGCCAGTTACAGCCCTGGTCTGCACTCAGGCCCCTCGGCAGCCGGTTACATGCTGATACTATATCCATGAGCACGCTCACCATCATGGAATGTTGAGGGGATCGAGGAGAAGATACTCAGGTCAGCATCAGCTATGCCAGGAAGGGCACTAGGCTGTTGATAAATACAACCCACAGTGAAGGCATAGCATTCGAGAACTGTCATTTATCAAACAGCATAGCACTGAAATGGATAAAACATATGCCGGAGAATCTAAAGACAACAGGAGAAAACCTTAGTTACACCGCTTTCAGTCGATGACTGAGTAGACAAAAGTGAGGATGTAGAATATCTCAGTAATTTCATTTAGAAGCCTGAATGAACTAGATACTAAACATCATGGGCTACGAACAAAGATAACATCTTTTTTTTTAAAAGATTTTATTTATTTATTTGAGAGAGATGAGTGGGGGGAGGGGCAGAGGGAGAAGCAGGCTCCCCGCTGAGCAGGGAGCCCGATGCGGGGCTCGATCCCAGGACCCCGAGATCACGACCCAAGCTGAAGGCCGATGCTTAACTGACTGAGCCACCCAGATGCCCAAGATAACATCTTTTGCCAACAAGCCATGGAACATTTTAAAAGGCCTGGGCATACTGAAGCCACAAATAAGGTGTTGCTAAATTGCAAAAGGCATTAAGAACACAGGCCACATTCTTTGACCAGAACGCAATAAAAGCAAATATTAGTAATGAAAGAACAAATACACAAGATCCCCATCCCTCCAATAACCAAACACTTGGAAATTTCAGAAAATGCCCTCCTAACGTCAGGTCAAAGAATTTAAAAGCCAGAATTACACAATATTTAGAAAATAATCAGGAAGAACATATCAAAACAGATGGATAAGGCTTGAATTATATTTGGAGGAAAACCCATAGCCTTCATTATTCCATTACCAAAACCAAGGAAATACAAATAAATGGACTAAACATTCAAATTAAGAATTCAGAAAAACCTTTAAAAGCCAAAAGAGTAAACCAAAGGAAAACATGAGAAGGGGATATAAATATGGCACTAGAAACGAACGAGTTAGGAAACAGGATGACATTCACAACTCAGGCGAGTTCTCTTTGTGTGGGGGTGGCTTTCGGCGGGGGGAAATCACAACAATAAAAAAGCAGGTCAGCCCATCTAATCTGAGACTGAGAGAGCACATGAATGCTCAGAATGTAGAGTTAGAAAGAAAACATAAGCAGATCTCGTAAGAGTTTTTTTAAATGCAAGCACATAGGATTTATAACTACATGCTAATAAATACATAACCTTCCGTAAGAATCAAATGATCAAAAACGGTTTCAAAGGACACTAGAAACACCAAAATGAGTAAAACCTTTGAAAAATGACCTCCCTCCAAAAGGCACTGGACCCAGACGGTTTTATGGGCAACTTCGCTTAAATGCTCGATGAAGAAATACCTAGACACAAACTATACCAAGAGTTTGGAAACGTGGTAAACTTCCCAGTTGATTATACAAAAATCAGCATTGCCCCGATCCTGAAAATCTACCAAAGACCACAGAAGAACCGAACCACAGTTCCATGTGACTACAAACACGAAATATGTCAATTCTTACCCGAGCAGGTCTTAGCTAGGAAGGAGTCACTACCTTTGTTGATATTGGGTCCCTGTACACCAGGGCTGTGCCCAGCCCCTTCCGACCCCCACCTCCTCTCCTCATAGCACCTAAAAGTGCACCCTCAGTACACCGCTGTCTGTCTTTGCTTCCAGCATCCCCCAGGCGCCCCGCCCGCCACATGAACGGCGGCCAGGAACTGGCAAATGCAGGGGCATTCTGCCCCTAATCCATTCTCTTGTTCTCACTTCAGTTCTGAGCTGTCAGCTGCTGGCTAATTACTTTCCATGTCAAAACAATTACTGGGAAAGAAAAAATAATTTCCCATCCAACCATTTCTCCCCACCCAGCAGCTCTCCCCTGCCTGGTCTTGCTGTGCTTCACTCTACCAGTCCCAGGCACACTCAGAAAAGCGATCGGTGGAGATCTGAAAAGTGATGGCTCACCCATGAGCGTCCCTGATTATTTCCAGGCCTCTCAGCTTGCCAGGGGTTAGATGCAAAACAAGTAAGGCCAGAAGTGGGTGCTTTTGAAGCCTCCAGCCTCCAGCGGGTGGGAGTGGGATTAAAATAAAATTGGTCAAGGACTGCTCATAACCATAAGGAACCTAATTCAGTCTGGGGATATTAAAAAAAATAAAGAGTAAAATGCCAAATTCAGCTGTTTTTAAAATAGGAAAAAGGGAACAGAAAGCCCTGATGTAGTAACTTTCATAATTTCAAACACAAATATAAACACACATGCACACATTTCATTCCTCTTTGTGGGCAGTTAAACAGAAGGAGGACTTGAGAGATGTGTCAGGAGAGGAGAGGACAGGTATGGGTAGAGAGGGAAAGGAGGTCTTCAGGGGGCAGAGGGAGAGGATGTGAATAAAAACAGAAAAGGAGCATAGCAGGAGTTGTCGAGAGAGGCCAAGCAACAGAGAAGAGCCAGCAACATCTGCTGCCCAGAATTCACACGCCCCTCTAGCTCCAGGCCCCCAATACAGAAAGCTCCATCCTCCATGTCCCACTCTCCACGTTTCGGTTCCCTAAAGGACCCCCAAGGGTAGACTTACTCTTTCAAACAAGGAAATCAGCCCTGGAGACAGCCCCCTTTAGGTCTGGCCCAATCTCCCTTCTTTCTGGAATAAACACGTAATTTCTTTCCCTAAGCTAAAGAAACCCGGGAGCCCCCAACAAGGCCTTGTTCCTGAATGCACCCTCTTCCCCCCCCCACCCATTCACACATTCAACACGGCAGAATGCAGAGTTTCCCCGGGCATGCGACACATGACACCAATTTGGCAGGATGTTCGTTCTAAGTGCAAAGCAGTGAAGGTAAAGGGTAGAGTCTCGTGATCCAAAGACTTTGGGACAGGTACCCCCATTATTCAGATATAAATTCCTTTATTACAGGAGGCCTTTTTAAATACAGGCACACCTCAGAGATATTGCAGGTTGGGTTCCAGACCACCACAAAAAAGCGAACATCATAATAAGGACAGTCAAATGAATGTTTTGATTTCTCAGTGCACATAAAAGTTATGTTTAAGCTACACTCTATTAAAGTGTGCAATAACGTTATATCTAAAAAAATGTACATACTTGATTTTAAAATCCTTTATAGCTTAAAACAAACCATTAGCCATCATCTGAGCTTTCAGGGAGTCCTCATCTTTTGGCTGGTGGAGGGTCTTGCCTCAGTGTTGATGGCTGCCGGATGCTCAGGGTGGTGGCTGCTAAAGGCTGGGGTGACTGGCAATTTCTTAAAATAAGACAACAGTGAAATCTGCTGCATCGATCGACTCTTCCTTTCACGAACGATTTCTCT